AAAAATGCTTTTCCTCTGGAAGATTATATAGATGATATAGTTTTCTATGTCCTTCAAGATTCATATAAGTTAAAAAGATTACTTCCCCGCCCTGGCTTTTAAAAATCCAAATGGCAGAGATTAAGGAAACAATGATAATTCTGTGCTAGTGGGTTTGCAGTGAAACTAGTATCATCATATATAGGTGATGGTTCTGGAAACCTAAAAAATCTTTCCAAAGAGCAAGCAGGCAATACTCCTTAATAGACTTTGATGCAACAATTCCATAAAATAGACTTTTCCAGATAGCAGATATCACTATACCACTTATGACACATTTGGAAAAAAAAAAAAAAAAACACTAAAGTCCCTCAAGGAAATTAAAGTATGATGATTTATTTTTTTTATTTTGGTACCGGGGATTGAACTGAGGGACACTCAACCACTGAGCCACATCCCCAGCCGTATTTTGTATTTTATTTAGAGAGAGAGTCTCACTGAGTTGCTTAGTGCCTCGAGGTTGCTGAGGTTATCTTTGAACTTGTGATCCTTCTGCCTCAGCTCCCAGGCCATTGGGATTACAGGTGTGCGCCACCACATCCAGCCAAGGGTGACAGTTTCTAAGCTGGACTTCCCAGTCATTAGTAATGTATTCAAATAACTGTTTTTTTCTTTTCTTCTTTTTTTCTAAATTTTTATTTTTTGGTACCAGGGATTAAACCCAGGGGCACTTAACCACTGAGCCACAACCCGAGACTTTTTTATATTTTATTTAGAGACAGGGTCTGCCTGAGTTGCTCAGGGCCTAAGTTGCTGAGGCTGGATTTGAACTCACCATCCTCCTGCCTCAGCGTCCCAAACCACAGGGATTATAGGTGTACGAGGTGTACGCCACCAGCCTGGCTCAAATAACTTTTTATTCTTTTAAATCTGAATGTTTCATTAAAAAATTTTGTTTTAGATATACATAGCAGTAGAGTGTATTTTTGACATATTATACATACATGGAATATCAATTAACTTTAATTATCTCTTCTTGTGGTTGTACATGATATGAAGTTTCACTGGTGGTATATTCACATATAAACATATGAAAGTTATGTCTGATTCATTCCACTGTCATTTCTATTCCCACCCCTCTCCCTTCTCTTCATTTTCCTTTGTCCAATCTACTGAACTGATCTATTCTTCCGTCTTCCCCTTTTTTATGGGTTAGCATCCACATATCAAAGAGAGCATTCAGCCTTTGGTTTTTTGGGACTGGCTTATTTCACTTAGGATGATAGTCTCCAGATCTATCGATTTACCATTATTTTTTAGGGCTAAGTAATATTTCACTGTGTATATAAACATTTTCTTTATCAAAAGGACTACATACTACAGTGATACAGCCATACTGTTTACAGCAGCTCAAATAACTTTTCATGGCAAGATAAAATGCTTATCCCATAGGGTTAAGTGATGAAAGCAAGATGTAAAACTAAATATAGTGTGATACTTTTTATTAAAAAAAAAAAAAAAAACTCATGTAAAAGATGGGAAAAATAATTGGGGTGGCTGGGGTTGTGGCTCAGTGGTACTGTGCTTGCCTCACACGTGCAGGGGCCCTGGGTTTGATCCTCAGCACCACATAAAAATAAACAAACAAAATAAAGGTATTTGCCCATCTACAAAAAATAAAATAATTGGGAATGGTGGTGCTTATCTGAAATCTCAGTCACTTGGGAGAAAAATTGCAAGTTCAAGGACAGCCTGGGCAATTTAGTGAGACCCTGTCTCAAAATAAAATTTAAAAAAGGCCAAGGATGTAGCTTGTGATAGAGTACTTGCCTAGCATGTGTGAGGCTCTGGGTTCAATCCCCAGTACTGAAAAAAAAGTGGGGGAATACATATACTAAAATATTAATGATGCCTGTCTCTGAGTAGTACAATTATGAAAATTGCCCTCTTCTTACCCTTATTTTCTAAATTTTATATAATCAAAATACTAATTAAAATATAAAAAATTATTTCAAAACATATTTTTATATATAACAGGGCACAGAGTATGTAACTGAAATAGAAACTGTTTGCCAATAGTTGAGCAAACATACTTGTGAGGTCCATATTTGGACACAATGTACCATAGCACTTTTTTTTTAAAAAAATTATTTTTTAGTTGTAGGTGGATGCAATATGTTTATTTTATTTATTTATATGTGTGCTGAGAATCGAACCCAGGGCCTCACACTAGCTAGGGGAGTGCTCTACCACTGAGCCACAATCCCAGCCCTGTACTGTAGCACTTTTAAAGAAAAAAATTGATAAATTTTCCTCTGCTCTGGGGATTGAACCTGGAGCCTCGTGCATAAAAATTAATTTTGTTCAATAATATCTTATAATATAAAGACAACTTTAGAATTTTATTAGAACTATAAATTGAGTTACTATAAATAATACTCTATATGAGCACAATAGATATGTGAAAATCTGTACTGAAAATGCACATTTAAAAAAATATTTTTTTGGTTGTAGATGGACACAATACCTTTATTTATATATATATTTATTTATTTTTATGTGGTGCTGAAGATTGAACTCAGGGACTCACATGTGCTAGGTGAGAACTTACCACTGAGCCAAAACCCCAGCCCCTGAAAATGCACATTTCTAATAAGTTTATTTTCTGATACTCTTAGATGGTATCAACGTTTTTAAACCCTAGCTAGATGAGATTGAGAGGATATAATATAATTGCTATTATTATTCTAGCCCCATAATATATAAACTATATTTAGTTCTGAAGAAAGTTTTGAACCCTTTCTACACTGGCTACTGTCTACAATAGGGATGTTGGTAGTTTAAAGAAATAGGTTAAATATTAGTACACTGAAGGTATTTGTTTAAAAAATGCTCACTGTGTGATAACTGCTATAGTTAAAGTGTAGGATATATATAAAGGATAGCTAATTCTGCCTGAGGGAATCTGGAAAAGCTTCTTAGAGGAACAGCCACTGAACTGGTTTTTGTAGGATGGATAAGGGAGGAAAAGAACACCAGGCACAACAGACAGTGTATGCAAAAGAAAGCATGAAAATGTTAAAAAAGATTATACTCACTTATATGAGATATATATGTATTTTATAGCTTTGTGTCTGGGCAATGGCATGGGAAAGTTAACCTAAGATTCTTTGTTCTAGAATTCTATGACCCATATTAGGGTATCTGCCATGTAAAACTCCAAATGCAAATACCTAAGCAAGATATGAAGAATTAATCTGAGGGTGTTCATTACTTACATTAAAATTCCATTTTATTCTTTTAGTTCATTGTTAATAAGGTAGTTTACAAAGAAAGAGTAGCATTTAAAAATAATAATGGGAGGGGTATATGGGAAAGAGGGGTAATTACCAGATAATTTGTCTATTTTCAGCCTTTTTCTTAATTCAAAGAAAAAAACACATTTGATTGAAGACCTTTGGAAAGTACTTAAAATTAGTTTTGTATTTTCTTTCCCCCCACTACTGGGAACAGGTCCTCAAATATGATAGGTAAATGTTCTGCTGAGCTCCACCCCAGCCCTGTATATGTATTTTTAACATCTTTAAGGAGATACAATTTATATACTTATTTAAAATTTTTTAAGTAATATTTAATACATCTGAAATTTTACCAGATAACACACTGATGTTTTAGTGTATGTCTTTTATTTTTGCTAGATTTTTTTGGTGATATAAGCAACCTGGCTTCAAGCACCAAAAGACATTACTAATTATAAAATTGACTTTAAAAAAAAAAAAAAACTCCTAAAACAAATATGTAAAAATTATCACAAATTTTTACCAGTGATTATTATCTTGGGGAAGACAGAAAGGGGCCAAAATTACTAAAGGGGTACTAAAGGGCAAAGAATATTTTAGTTTTATCTTTAATGATTAAAAAAGAACAGATTCAAGGCTGGGGATGTGGCTCAATGGTAGAGTGTTTGCCTAGCATGTGCAAGGCCCTAGGTTTAGTCTCTAGTACAGCAAAAACAAAAACACACACACATATTCATTTTATTACTACATTAAACATTAATAAAAAAGAAAAAATCTAAATATATAAGAAGACTTGCCACATTTATAAAATAAATTTTAAAGGGAGAGATTATGGTAAATGAAAGAGAACTGACATTTAATCTTGGCAGGGAGAATAATTTCAGGAGTCCTGTTCTGCCACTTTTTCACTTCCCCTACAATAATTTTCTGACTCATTAGTTTCAAAACCATTACCGGTTTCACATGATTGAGAAATGTTGGAATCATCACAGTCCTCAGAAATTCAATTAGCCAAACTGTTTTTTTTGTTTTTTATTTCCCTCCAGGAATATGTTTCCAATTATTGACTTTCAGAGACTCTTAAGAGAAACACTGATTAGAGTCTAACAGCTTAATTCAACAAACACATTAAACACTCATATATTTTAAAAATATTCAGGACTTACTGGGAGTTAGAGCAACAAATACTCCATAAGGAGATTAAATAATTAAGCTGAATAATTGTTTTCTTCTTTTTTTGGAAGTACAGGGGATCGAACCCAGAACTTCACGCATGCTGAGCAAGTGCTCTACCACAGCTATATTCTCAGTCTTGTGTTTTCACTTTTAAAGCGCATACAATTCATCTGGGATTTGGTGGCTTGCAGTTCATTCTCATTGTGGTGGTACTGGGGACATCAGGTGCAACGTTTAAAACATCTCATTTCACAATTTTTCTCTTTAATAATTCTTTTTTCTAATTGAGGTGGAGTTAGAATTTCTGCAGCCAGTATTCTATATTTACAGCAGCTAGAAACAAGAAAGAGATATAAAGCATAGACAACTCAAGAAGGGAAAAATACTAAAGATGGAATGAACTTCTGTGACAAGTCTGTGCTTTCCTGGTAGTCCCATGTGATGTCTCTTCTTGAAGTCTTCTTCAAAAGCTGCCTTGGGCCACATACACTTTGTAGTCCTCTATTATGTTATAGTATAATAATAAATAATCACCTTTAAGCCACCTAGGCAGAAGCACATAATATTTTATTATATTGTTACATGGAGCTCTCTCCATGAAAGTGTTTTTAATATAACTGCCCACCTACCCAAGAAGAGTAGTTGAATTAAATATCCAATTAACAAAAGATGTTACAGAACATATATGTAGGATTAAAAAAAGAAAAAAGGACAGAACCTCAATTCTTTATCTGTAGTTTTCATATCCAAGAACTATGGATTGTTTCTTCACAAGTTTGGTGACAAAACCTGACATGACTTAACCTGAGGCTCTTTACATTCTTTAGTCATCACCTTCAGTAGGGCTATTCATAACTCACCACAAAAGTAGGAGTGCATTTGATAATGGGTTTCTACCCTGGACTTTTTTAGTAGCTTTGAGTGAAATATTCTATGTAGATCCTATTAGTTTTTTAAATTCTGAAAAATTTTGATCCCAAAACACAACTAACCCTAAGTTTTCAAACAAAGGATTGTATAGTAATCTCTCTCCACACTGTTAATGACATGGTGATTGTACCAAACCTAAAGCTGGTCCCAGTAAGTACTTTTGTCCCTTAGTATGTCATGAGGATGAATTTCTAGGAAAAGAGGAAAGGCACGTTCAAATAACACATGGGCTGCATGAAAAACCGACAGCAATGACAAGAGATGCAGCTGCAAGACAGTGCACGATTACCAGAAGCTATCAACCCTAGTGCTCTGCTGATTGTTGACTCCCTAAAAACAAGACATTCCATTCTTTTGATGCTTCCTTTAAATACAGATATTCTTAATTCTGGGGTTCTCAACCTGGCTAGATATTAAAATCTACCAGAGGGTTTTGTAAAAATACCCAATGCGGAGTAGGCTACATAAAGCGAGAGCAAGGACATCATTTTAAGACATTCTGATTTACTTGGTTTAAAAAAGGGCCTCAGTAACAGAGTTAAAAAAAAAAAATCTCTACATGAATCTCATGTGCACCTAAAGCTTTATAAAATTTCAATTCCCAGGCTATATCCTATATCAGCTAAGTCAGAATTTGGGGGCATGGAGCTTAGACACAAGTTTTGATTTTTAAAAACACGCAGGCCAGATGCGATGGCACATACCTATAATCCCCGGAAATTGAGGCAAGAAGACTGCAAGTTAGAGGCCAGTCTCAGCAACTTAGCAAGACCCTGTCTCAAAAAAAAAAAAAAAAAAAAAGACTGGGGTGTAGTGCCCCTGAGTATTGAACTCTGGTACTAAAAAAATTTTTTTTTAAATTGCCCAGGTGCTTCCAAAGTATACCTAATTTCAAAACCAATGTTGTGATCCACTGAGTTGATTGAATGACTTAAGAATTAAGGATGTAAACTATTTTGTTTTCCTTCCTAAACCAGTCAGTTCCAAATCATCACTATAGTTGGGTCACCAATGAAGAATTCTAAGCTGTCTCCACTCTCAGCTGGCTTACTCATGGAGTCCTTTCCCAACTTCTTTAAGGGGAAAGGGAAGAATGGTACAGAAATGACAGGAGAAACATCTTAAGATATATTTGGTAAAGTACTCTGTTCCTTGTTAAAACTTCTAGTACATGGTAGGTCACAGTGAAGAACAAATTTGAAAATTTTAAAGCTACAGTGTAAAGGAGGGCACAAATTAGAAGGTACGTAATAGGAAATCCAAGTATTTTTCCAGTCATTTATAAAAGAAAGCTAGAAAATGCATTAAAAAATCACCCTTTTGTATAAGTAAAAAGAACCAATTAAAAAAATAGGTAAGTGAAAGGAAGTCTAACAGGGTAGAGGAAGGAGAATGGGGGAGGAGAGGAAGGATTGAGACCTGAAATCAAACTCTATGCATAATTGGTCAGGATGAATCCAACTACTGTGTATAACTATAATGATCTAATAAAACAACAACAATAAAAACTAGTGTCTTGGGTCGGGGTGAAGGCAGAAAGGGAGAGAGGAAGTACTGGAAAGTGATACTGGCCAAATTTTACTGTTATATTGTATGCATATAGGAATATGTAACAAATCTCATCATTATGTACAACCATAATACACCAAGGAAAAAATGTGAAAAGAGAAAAAAATTGAATTCAATATAGTTTATTTCAGTGCACAACTGAAATATATAATAAGGTGCACTTTTTTAGATAATTTTCTTTGATTTTAGTTAGAAATTATTTTCACACTTTCTAATTGTCATATGAAAAATAAATTTACCTCTTTTATTATTAACCTGGAGTGAGAGAATAATGTCACATAATTCACTAGGACCAATCTTTGCACTTTTCATAATTACTTGTGACTGGCAAGGTAATGAGAGAAGGTTAGGATAGTATGCTGAGGTTTCCACACAAAATAGCTTAAGCCATTAAAAATGAATATAACATTGGGGTAATTTGTACAGTGACATTTTTCTATTACAATTGGGAACCATTTTAAAATGTCATCACTCTCAATCCTGACACTGGTTTAAACAAAGCAAAATAAAATTTCCATTGACTACGTAGATCTTTCAGTTCGATATATAGAAATATGTAGAGAAAATGTAGCTCCCCTGATCAAGAAGCTACATTCAGCAGAAGGAAAATATGCATAAGTTCTATGCAATCTTCTCTTTTTCTAGAAAGATACTAGCTTTTAAAGTGAGTTGATGAAACCGTGGAATTCCATCATAATAGAATATGGAAATAGTTCACATTTTCACTTTAACATTACAATTATTGTTAGGATAAAACTTAGAACTGCAAATTTATTTGAACTCACCAGTTTCAACCAATGGAAATGAAATAAAGTTCACTCTCTGGGCCAAAACCCCCAAGCAGCTGTTGGGAGCAAGAGGGCAATAAGAACAGAAGAAAATAGATTCACTGCATTGTTATCAAGAATGGGTTTCCCTGCTATGTGCTTTGCATTATTTGTAGGGTTGTTGACTACCATGCCAGTGCTTTCATCCAAACCTGGAATAGAAAAGAAGCAAATAAGAAGATTCAAATACTAGATTAAAAAAAGAAAATTGGCTTTTTCTCCAAAAGAGACCACCTTTGAAAAACTCTCAGTGATTTGTACAATGACCTTAGTGAATAATTTAAATGGTGAGATACATGGAACCTTTGATTACAAAAGGCCTCTTTGAATAGGTAAGTTTCAGCACATCTCAATAATATTCTCTCAATACCTCTGGAGTTCCTTCGGAATTAGAATGGAGAACAATAAAAGGACAGGTGGCCCGAAACTGGCAGGCTAGGCCTGCCTTCCCAGTAGTTTCCCATCAAAGCCAACCTGTGAGGCTCCTCAGAATAGGGGTAAATGTATAGCCTCAGCACTGGACACACATGGCCTAGCATGGTGATGAAAAAAGAATGCTATGGTTTGAATGTTTGTCTCCCTCCAAGATTCATGTTGGAATCTAAGACCCAATGAGATAGAATTAAGAGTTGGGGGGGCTGGAGATGTGGCTCAAGCGGTAGCGCGCTCGCCTGGCATGCGTGCGGCCCGGGTTCGATCCTCAGCACCACATACAAACAAAGATGTTGTGTCGGCCAAATACTAAAAAATAAATATTAAAAAATTCTCTCTCTCTCTCTCAAAAAAATCTTCTTCTTTAAAAAAAAAAAAAAAAGAGTTGGGGCCTTTGGGGAAGGGATCAAGTCATGAGGAATTCATTCTCAAGAATGGGATTAATGCCCTTATACAAGAGGCTCCTGAGAGCTGCCTTGTTCTTTTGCCTGTCTGCCTTTCACCATGGAAGGATGCAGGAACAAGTATCATCTTGGAAGCAGAAAGAGAATAGTGTCTTGTTCTTGAACTTCCCAGCCTCTGAAACTATGACAAGTAAATTACTTTATTGTTCTCTTTGCAAATTACCCATATAAGGCATTTTTCATAGCAGTATAGACTAAAACAGAAGCACACAAAGATTTAGGGAATAAACTAACCTCTTCCACTGCTCACATTTTATTTTTCAACTCACTCAGTGTAAGAAGTTTTCCCTGCTAGAACCCATTTCAAATAAAACCTAGGCTTCTTAAAAAAACAAAACAAAACAAAAAAACCCACATGTACTATTTGTGTAGATAGAGTCTCTGTCTCTTTAGTATAAATTAAAACCAGATTGCTTCTTCCTAAGCATCTGAATGAAATTAGTAAAACTGAGAGAACAAACATTCTGACAAGTGGAGAGGGGAGTAAAAGGATAAGTAGATTATCTTGGGTTTGAAGAGCATGGGATGGACTGAACTCAGGAAACCTTCTCTAGCCTTCGGTCTCTTCATGATGTCAATCAAAGGAGAAAATATAGTTGGTGAGCATGTGCAGGAAATACACACCTAACAGGAAATATCTGTAGAATGAAAGGGCCAGACAGCACCAGAAGCAAGACACAGAATTTTGAGGAAAACTGATTCTACCATTTACCTTGAGTGGGACTTAAAACTCAATGGTGGCATGCAACTGTAGCCCTAGCTCCTTGGGAGGCTGAGGCAGGGGCATCACTTGAGCCCAGGAGTTGAGACTAGCCTGGGATATCCAGTTAAATACTACCTCAAATAAAACAAACTACTCCAAAACTCAATGGTGAAGACAGCAAGCATGATATCACAGTAGGAAAGTAGGTAATGTGTATGTAGTCATATTAGTATAGTAACTATCTATCAAATGGACTTGAAGAAAACAAATGGAAGGAGGTGCATTAAAATGAGCTGATCCTAAATGTCCTACTTTCCTGGGATTAGATGGCTCATAATCAAAAGTGTCTATTCCTTGCACTAATGTATCTTCCCTTCTAATCACTGCTCTGCAGAACTCATTCTTTTTCAATGAATTTAACACAAAAGAATTAAAAAAAAAAAAACAAAAAAACTGTGGAAGAGATTCTTCCCTGTCATTTCTGGTCCTTCAACAATCCTGTATCTTTGGGTTTCTTTTCCTTTTTACATCTTTAAAATAAAAATTCCATATTTTCCCCCATTTCTTTGAAAAACCAATAAATTACAATAATAATGTAATGGTCTTACCAGTAAATTGCATTGTTGCCCCTAAATATGAGTCCACAATTGATCCTAGCAATCCGGCTAGACCTCCAAATGCAATAATGGGCCACTGTGGAGCAGAAATGTCTAAATCACTCACAAAAACCAACTGTGTGAGGAAGTATGCAATGCCCACAAAGGTACCACCAAGAAGACTTGAGGCAAGTCCCACCATTGTAACACCTCCATTAGTTCCTAAGAAGGAACATAAATAAAATCATCTGGTTAATAATCAGTACATAGTCAAACAAAACTACGTAAAGTTAATTACATAGCTTTGTAACATTATAGTAGCTATGTAATTAACATTAACTTGAAAGAGTTCTCTTTTTAATTAAAAAAATTTAAGTGAATCATAAAATTGTATATATTTATGGTATACCATGTAATATTCTGATACATGCATATATTGTGCAGTGTTCACATCAGGGTATAGATATCTCCTCAAAAATTTACCATCTTATAATGTTTAAGGGTAAAAAATTGAAAATCCTTTCTTATAACTTTCTAAACATACACAATACATTACTGTTAACTCTAGTTACCCTACTATGCAATAAAACAGCAGAAGTTCTTGCTCCTGTATAACTTAGTCCCCAGTAATTAAACTTTTCCCCTCACTCTCTCTCCCCTATTCTCCCTAGCCTCTGGTAATCACCATTATAAACTCAACTTCTATACAGTCTACTATTTTGGATTACAAATATAAGTGAGATCATGTGGTACTTGTTAGAAAGAGTTCTCTTTAATGCAATCTCTAGACTATAGCCTATTTAGAAAATAGTCCTTTTTCTTCAGTAACTTTCCAACATTCTAGCAGTGAACCAGAATGGTTCAGTGGAGCTAGAATGCTATTTCTCTGTGCCTTAGTTTCCTTTTTTTTTTTTTTAACGATGAAAACAATACAAGAACAAATTCATATGATTATTATGAGTACTAAGTGATATTCTATGTAACGCAGCCAGGATAGTGCTTTGAGCATAGTAGGTCTTCAAAATGTTAGCTATTGTAAGAATGATGATAATGAAGAAGAGGAATAAAAAACGAAGATGAGAAGAAGGTGGAAAAGAAAGGAAAGAAGAGAGAAGATTTTAAAAAGGATGTAGAAGCAGTTGCTAATGGTAATAGGGGACAGAGATATACCTATATAAATCCTTTACTATCCACACGGGATTGGTTATACCAAAATCCTCGAATGCTCAAGTCCCTCACATAAAATGGTGTAGTACCTGCACATAACCTATGCACATCCCACCTTCCACATAATTTAAATGTTCTCTAGATTACTTATAATAAATACTAACACTACACAAATGCTGTTTAAATATTATTATACTGTATTATTTAGGAATAATTGTAAGAAAAAAATCTAAGTGTTCAGGATAGACAAAATTTTTTTCTTTAGATATTTTTAATCCACTGTTGGTCGAAACAATAGATTTGAAAGACTATGTTAAAAGCACTTATTACATAATAGGATCTCAAGAAAAACTCTATTCCTTATATTTTCCTTTCCCACTGATTAAGTCTGTGGGTTGGTTTCTATATTCTTGTACTGTATATCCAGGTCTTGTTAATGTTTCCATCAAATATTAGTTAATATCAGTAATTTAATATCCTATAGCAATTTTCCGATTAAGAAAACCAAATAAAATTCTTAAAAGGCACTTAAATACATTAACAGGGGTGTTTTTGTTTTTGTTTTGAAACTCAAATCAAGACTCACCCACTGGAACTTTCTCCCAGGTTGTTATTAGCCTTGGTGGGCTTTTACTCAGTACTGTGCCAACTTCTGAAGCCCAGGTGTCTCCAGCAGAGCAGGCCAGTGCAGCCAAGAGAGATAAACACATCCAGGAAGCAGTGTACTGCTTAGAAAAATCGATTGGTATTTCCCCGGGGCCATTTTCTATCATGTACAGTAGGGCCAGCTCAGTAGGCACAGCTCCATTACAGAACACCTGGATCCAATTCCTCTGCCCTCCTGGAAACAAAGAAGTAGATAAAAAACATAAGAAATGTTTTCTTCTCAAAAGGAAATGCATGCAGTTATAAGAACTTTATCTTAAAGTGTAGAAAAATAAAAAAGACTAATTTTTTTTTTAAAGTTTTAAAAGTAGTATGGCCCATTCACCCTCATTTTATGCTGGTATTAATAATCTAAAATAATTAACGATAGACTCTAGAGCTTCCAAAATGTTGCTGTTATTTCCTATTGCAGTAAAGTAAATGATAAATAAAGCTACTAAAGTAACTCTCAAAAATGATCTGCTGACAGTCTAAATATGTTCTGATTAAAAGCTTATGTTATTAAATTGCATTAAAAAAAAGCTTATGTTAGGATAAAACAGTTTACCATTTTGAGTAATGTTGAATGTAATTAATTTTACCTTCCTTATATTCTGAGTCTAAACGCTTCTTTGCTTCTCCTTTCCATTTTGTGAGTTTTGAAGAAGAAAGGAAAAACATCAGCAAAGAGGTAAAAAAGCTGAAATTTGCAATCGTTAGGATAAATCCAACCACTAGCCCTGAAAGAAACATATAGACACAGAATTATACTTAATCCATATATTAGTGCTGAAAAACATTGGTGTTTTTCAGTAATTTTCATATTACAACATGAATGTACACTTCTAATACATTTGCAATTTACTAAACTATTACCAAACAGTAAACTGAATGTCATTTTAATTCACTGATAAAATTTTTTTTGCCATATTTTGATCTCCTTTCAAACAATGTTTTATTATTTGAGACAACTGTTTTATAATCAAATTGTAAAACAGAATAAATGGCAGTGATTTTATTATTAAACAATACATATTACACACATACACTCAAATACACAGTTTGAATAGAAGGCTAATATAGAGAATTTTCAAATTACTATGGCCCTCTCTGAGGTTGTAAAGATTACGGTTTTCCAAGTTTCTTTTACGATTTTCCCCTATAGCCTGGATTTTTTTCCCCCTAGTTTACAGAGGAAAGTCAAAGTTAATCTTTTTATACTTTTCTAAAAAAAACTTTCATATGTTCTCTTGCTGAATCTCATAAACTATGGTGAGGGGAGTTTTTCTTAGCTAAACTGTCCTATGTAAATCCATAAAATGTTACATGCAACTAAAAATGGAATATGTTCTGTGAATGTTATTTTATACTTTTAGACTTTTCTGTCTCTTTAGATATTTTCCCCCACTTCAGTGCTGAACCCAGGGATGCTGAGCTATATCCCCAGCCATTTTTATTTTATTTTGAAACAGGGTTTCAAACTTGCAATCTTCCTGTCTCAGCCTCCTAAATCGCTGGGATTACAGGTGTGTGTCACTATGCACAGCTGTCTCTAGATTTTGTGGAGGTAAACAAAGAAGAAAGACTGCATTTATTCATTTTTCAAAGGGTGACTGATTGCAAGGAAGTCTTATACAATCTGTAGTTCAGCCAGGAAAACAAAGAAGGAAACTTATACTTCATGACACAGGAGGAGGGGATAAAGCAAAGAAAAGATTGTAATCTCTCAGTGATGTGGGAGAGTAAGGCAGGGGGATCACAAGTTCAAGACTAGCTTCAACAGCTTAGTGGGGCCCTATGTCAAAATAAAAAATAAAAAAGAACTGGGGATGGAGCTCAGTGGTAGCATGCTCCTGGGTTCAATTCCTAGTACTTGCTGTGGGTTATACAGGAAAACGGTTATAAAGCCTCTCTCTAGGTAATTCCATAGGGAAGAGTAAACATATTCTGGAATGGGTTAGCCTTAAAGGCCTTTTATTACAAAATTTGAAATTATTCTTGTGAATAAAATTTGGTGGTAGAGGGAGTAAAGTACCTTCATATTTATTATAATGGTTAGTTAACCCTATAAAAATGAGTCAAAATATAATGAGTGAAATTAGCCATCTATAAAGATGACAAAAACGTAAAAGAGACAAGTATGTGAATCTTAAGGATACACCAAATTCAATCAAGGTGACCCCAGGAAGTCATATGGGGATGTGACTGCCCTGAGAACATCTTAACCCAATGAATACCACTTTCCATTTGAAGAGTATGCTAATAGCTGGGCCCAGTGGCACAAACCTGTAATCCCAGTAGCTAAGGAGGCTGAGGCAGGAGGATCTTAAGCAGACTTAGCAACTCAGTAAGATGCTGTCTCAAAACAAACAAACAAAATACACCCCCCCACACACACACACATAAAGGGTTGGGGATGTGGTTCAGTGGTTAGCATCCTTGGGTTCAATCCCTGGTATTTAAAAAAAAAAAAAAATGTGCTAACAGATGGATGTAGTCTCTTTTACTGTGGATCATTTTTATAAAACACTTTTTTTCTTTAATGACATTGTCACTTTTGAGAATGTAGTTGCCTTATTCAAATAAAAAATATCATAGCACATTATTGTACTTACTCTTGGTGCTCCAAGTGTCCCAGATTTGTCCAGCAGGAGTCCCTTTAAGCTGGCTGCTAGGCTCTTTTGACATGACCCCATCCTCCCCCTCCCCCCCCCAATATAAAAAGATATTTTAGGCTCATCCCAAACCTAACTTGCCCCATCTCTGGAGGCAGCCATTTCTCTGAGAAGTTGATTAATTTTAGTAGGTATTGAAACCAAGATCTAGGCTCTCAATGTACTCTCATGGTTACTGGGGTATTTTTGTCATATGTGAAGAGGGCAAGTGAATGCACATGCACATATAAATATACAGACAACTACATACATAAGTATATATACACATACATACATATTTTAGAGATGACAAGATCACACCAATTCTAATCTATCCCTATAGATTCTCTCTTGCCTTCCCCTATTCCTTGCTCTGATTTTTTTGTCCTTAATAAGGAGCCTTGATTCCAACAACAATGACAAATTCACTCATTACCTCAATCCTACATTGATTTACAATTGTCTCAGAATTGCACCACCCAAACGAAAACAAAAATGTTTACTATAAATAGCCTACTTGTTTTCAATTTTTTCTTCTCTTCAATCCAAGACTGAGGATACATAGTTTACATAGTTAAATATTGTATCATACTCTTTTTTTTTCCTTTCAGTGTAATTATTTATTTGAAATGCAATTGGGTTTGTTTCAGTCTATTTCCAATTTTAGATTTTTCCCACCTCCCATCCTTACTGATACAATTTTGTTTCTTAAATATGTAAAATATTAATATGTATCCAAAAGTTGAACTTACAGAAAAGGTATCATTAGAGAAATATTACTTCCTTCAGGACCCATGAGTCTCCTTCTATGTAACCAAGTGTATTATTTTCCTTCCTGTGTTTGTTTATATATCATTAACTATTCTTGTGTTTCTTTTTATAAAGATAAGCTTATATATGCATGCCTTTAAATTTTCCCTTCTTTTTTTACCCAAAGTGTAGCGTTCTATTCCCCACTCCTTTCTCCTCCTTCCCCCACCCCTGATGGGGATGGAACCCAGGGCCTCCAGCATGTTAAACATATGCTCTACCACTAAGCTATACCCAACTCCTGGCCCCATATTTTGTCAATTTTATTTTTTACTACAAAATGTTCTAACCCTGCTTACTCTATGGCTGACAATTTCTGTTCTCTGTAATTCTCAAGATAAATATATTCAGTTAGTAACTGAAAATTTTATTATTAAATAATATCCAATTAAATAAAAATACAATAGATATTAAATAATTTAATATTAACATTCATTTAATAAATCTATTCATTTACTAAATAAGTACTAAATAAATAATATTCTATTAAATAATATAATAGGAGACCTGGTTGTTATTCCCATTATAACCCATTTTACCACTGCTCAGCTCAAGGTTAAGGTACTATAATCAGGTAGTTATTAATTGATTTAGCCAGAGATGCTTAATTACTGGCATTTTATTTAAGGTTAGTGTATTTTAATTGTGAGTTAAAGAAACAGGGTAACTTGGTATAAAGCAATAATAAATAGCTTCATCTCTGGAACTGAACAGTTTAGAGTTGAGGCTTTGGCTGCTCCACCTGCCTCTGTGTGACTAGGAAAAGGGTCCCAACCTCCTCAAGCCTCAACTTCACATTGGTGGAATGAGAATATTTCCTAACTCAATGGCTTGCTGTGAACTGTTAAGAGGTAATTTTTGGAATATGCTTATTATTCTACCTAGGATGTAGGAAGCCCTCAATAAATTATGGCTAATGTCAGTGTTAATAACAGCAACTATAGTTCCAGTGGCTCAACAGTGATAATGATAAATACTGTGTCATTGTATTCAACCTTTAATTTTCCTCCACTGATTTTTAAAACATTACAAGAGTAATACATGGCTATTTGAATGGAAAGCCAAAACATATGAAGTATAAGCAAAAGACAAAGTGTTTTCCCTCTCCCCTTTATAAATAGTCACTGTCAAGAATCTGTTCGTCTATCTTTAAACAATTCCAAAGTGGAATGGCTCTAAAATAATTTATGTGCATTATAACAATGCTACAAAAGGTATTCATATCCCTTTTACTTTGATCATCCTAAAATACTACATGAAGTGACTCATGTTCATGATGATGTCAGGTTTAGATTTAAGAAATAAATTTAAGACACTCTTTGAAGGAACGATTTCATTCATGTAGCATTAAAATATCTTGGATTTTTGGCCACTCCTAGCTATATCTGAATTTTTAGATGAGTAGCTGCTATCTTTTGTTCATGTCTAGGCCACCTGCCCACTCTACCCCAGGAATCTCTAATTCTCATTAATAAGAGATTCATATATACAACAATAGGGTGCTATAAAGAATTTGAAAAATTAAGATTATTGCTGCTGTCTTTTTGAGCTTAAAACAGGTAACTTCTGTACCCAACAGATGCCATCTGGGAGGGAGGGGAACAACACTGTTTACATGTGTCTGATAGTGGAAGTTATGCAACATCCCAAATTGCAATCAAGGTAATCTGAGTAATCTCTGGGAAGCAAAAATGAGAAAGGCAGGACTGTAATTTTGCAGGAATTTAATAAAATGAATTCTATTGTTTAATACATAATCTGTCTAGAGTAAAACTGTGGGGATAAAAAGATGGCTAGTTAACCCTGAATGTGGAAAGTGAAGGCCAAAAGAGACAGGTTAGCAGACTTATTGAACCCTGCCCAAGGGAAAGGGCCCTTGACCTGTGGACTTGCATTACTGTTTCCCAGACTTCGCACTCACCAAAGCAACCTTCTAATTATAATCTGACTTCTCACATGGTTTGCCTACAAGAAAGTGATTTTTGCCTGAACAGTGATTTTTATATTCCAGTTTGCCTGGTAGTTCGACATTCTATGAGATTAATAAAGTGGCATTCTGGCTCATATAGCAATCTCTTATGACAATGAGCAGCACCTACCTAGTTTTCTTAGTTATATCAAATCTAGGAACCTAATGTTGTGAGGTTTCTACTTAAGAGAGACTGAACACCAGACATGAACTATAGTGACTAAAAACAGGTAACACACCCTTGTGAGACAACACAGAGTATCACCATGGGCCTTTACCAGTAACACCTCACCTTTGCTGTGCACTTTCCTTATGCTTATAGCAACTCCTCCTGAGGGGATCAGATAGAATCAAACCTATCATTTACTGACTTCCCTCAAGAGAAATGTAAGTCATATGATAGTAAGATTTTAATCCATATTATTCACTGTTAAAATTCTAAGTGCTCAGAATAGTGACTGGCATACATGGAACCATCACTAAATATTTGTTGAAAATTAATGAAAAATGGTAAACCATTAAGCCTAATTTCTTGGCAAATGAAACTGAAACTCGCCATGCCAAAAGCCTAATAATAAACTGTCCGTGTTTACATGTTCAAAGAAAAGCTTCCAGTAATCTGTCAGAACCATGTCAACAACAAGCAGACAACACTTCCCTTGGAGTAAATTGCCTGCCCAGTGCCCAGGGCTTTGTAGCTCACGAGTACTTTTCCACTCACCCCCTTCATTTCATCCTCTCTCTCCAGGAGACCAGGGCCTTCACCTCAGTGTCTGAATTAAGCAGTGCCTCATCCCTTTCCCATCCTATCAATACTAAGGTACGTGTACCTGTATCATGAATGACTGACTCTAAGTACTTAGATCTTCAAGAAAGTTCTGTAACTCCCATTTATTAATTCTAAGCACACCAAAAGCTAAAAGCATGACACAGCAAAGTTTAGCAAACATTCCTTAAAACTGAAGAGTAGTAGTGGAGGGAAAACAATAATATCTGTTATTAAGAAAACACATATCTGTCAGGTGTCAGGCTAAGCATTTTACATCATGCATAACTTCTCATGGTAAACTCAATGCTACAGATGAATACCATCACTTCTTCAGGAAAGTATTACCAACTACTATGATATACACTGACTTTTTTTTAATCTGTATTTTTTAGTTGTAGGTGGACACAATATCTATTTCATCTTTATGTTGTGCTGACGATGGTGCCTCATGCTTGCTAGGTGAGCACTCTACCACTGAGCTACAATGCCAGTCCCGAGTTGACATTTTTTTTGCTGGAAATTGAACCTAGAACCTCATGCATGACAGGCAAACACTCTACCACTGAAATACATCCCAAACCTTTCTAATATACTTTGAATAAACATTACATTTTTTTACCCTTAAGGCAAGGAAAGTCCTAAACAGAACATGTCATAGAATAAAAGGATTCGGAAAAAGGGAAAAAGTTTTTAAGTCAATGTATATCTATTTTTCTAAGCACCTATTTTGTGTCTAGCACTAGTCAAAGAAACATAGGACACAGAGGCTTAAGACACATTCTTGGTCTTCAAGGAGTTTATAATCCAGTCAGTAGGTGTCCTTTGATCTCAAGCAGATCAAGTTGCTTATTATAATACCAAGATAAGTTTTAGAAACATACATATTATATTTTTGCTACCTGACTTTTCAAACATCAGTTACTACTGAAAAAGAAGTTAAAAACATTTTTCCCTCCATCTTATTTGACAATTTCCATCTAATAGTGCTGGCAGCAAAGTAATGACTTTATCAGATTTGAATCCTATTCAATGTGAATAACTCATTAAATCCTACGAAGCCTCAAACCACATAATCTTCCCAACTGGAATACTTCATTTACTCTTCCTCTAGGAGAATTAATTTCAGTTTTCTGAAACTTTCCTTGTTTTCCCTCTAGAACTCTGAATCTCTCTCTACACTAATAAGAAGAAGTATATAATAAGTATATATACTCAGCGGCTTGGGAGACTGAGGCAGGAGGATTGCGAGTTCAAAGCCAGCCTCAGCAAAAGTGAGGCACTAAGCAACTCAGTGAGACCCTGTTTCTAAATAAAATACAAAATAGGGCTGGGGATGTGGCTCAGTGGCTGAATGACCCTGAGTTCAATCCCTGGTATGCCCCCACAAGTATATACAATGAGGTAGGAGAGAAGTTGGGGGAATGAGTAGAGATAAGGAGAAAGAAACTAATGTTTGTGGTAATGCTAAATTAATAGTCATCCACATAAAAAACATTGTTGAAAACAGATAATCATTAACACTCAATGTTTATATGTTTTATAGATTATAAAGGCATGCTGTCTCACACATTATCTTCTTTGAGTCTCGCCAAAGGCGTGACCTATTTCATAAGAGATAAAGAAAGTAAGGATCTTAGGAGTTAGATGACTTGCCAAAATTCACATCAAGTACAGGTGTCAGAATTAGTTTTCAAATATATATCTTTTAATTCAGAATCAAGGTAGGTAGGAGAGGAGTAGAGGCCCAAGGGCTAAAAGAGAAGATATGGTAGTAGGAAAGAGACAAAGGAGAGGAGAAAAGTAAGAGAAGGAAACCAGGACAATACATAGTATGGAAGTCAAAGACAGAACTTCAAGAATTTGGGGGCTGGGGATGTGGCTCAAGCGGTAATGCGCTTGCCTGGCATGCACGGGGCACTGGGTTTGAACCTCAGCACCACATAAAAATAAAATAAACATGTTGTGTCCACCGAAAACTGAAAAAAACTTGACCCTTCTTATTAGTATCAAGGCAAGGATACCTAAGAATTTTTTTTTTTTTGGGGTGGGGGTACCGGGGATTGAACTCAGGGACACTCAACCACTGAGCCACATCCCCAGCCCTATTTTGTATTTTATTTAGAGACAGGGTTTCACTGAGTTGCTTAATGCCTTGCTGTTGCTGAGGCTGGCTTTGAATTTGTGATCCTCCTGCCTCAGCTTCCTGAGCTACTGGGATTACAGGTGTGTGCAACCATGCCTGGCTGAGAGAGAACATTTTTTGGTAAAACATAATTCTATGTTTTTATACTCAAACAGAGCTTTTTCAAATTATTTGTTACAATGAATTAATATTGCCAAAGTGCTAAGAGGAATGCCCAGAACATGCTTAAGTGTGACATAAGCATTTGTTAAATAAATAATACATAGCCATTCCTAATACTCGTTGATTATATTATGACACAATTTATATAAAAAATACCAGTGTGTCTAGCTAACTTTAATTCTCAACTATCCCATGGGGTGGAGAGTGGAAATAAACAGAATTTTAGCAATATTTCTCAATTCTGAAGAAAGGGAATTAGCATAATTCTGAAGAAATCTGCCTACCTTACAATACATGTTGGCTCATGTGTCCAGTGAACAAAAAACTTTATGGTAATTGTTTCACTTAATCCTACGACCCTAAGAATAAAATCAGGGATAGATTTAGGCCTTGTGGGGCGCTATACTTTTAAAACTTAGAGGACCTCTTGAAGAAAAAAAGAGTAAAAAATACCTTTTACTTATGCAAAATTTACAAAACCATAGGACCATAAGAGCACACTGGTAGGGCTCTCCCCAAAGGCCTTGGAAGGTACCATTGCAAGTGAGATGACCTCAAGTTTAAGCTCCATGGACTGCATGATATATACTTTTCTATTAGATATTGAAAACAGAGACAGAGAGAGATAATAACATGAGACTCTCCTGAAGCCATCACTACCATTCAGATTAATTCTGCCTGATTCTAGTGCTTGTTCTTTTACCATCACATTATCTTGCTTCCATGAAAGTTTAGTCTAGTTTATAAAACTTTACGAGGAATGCCTTCTGTACATAAATATGGAGGGGGAAGAATGTACTTACAGGGCAACAGAGGCTAAAGATTAATAGTATTTTAAAGGTTGGCTTAGTAAATGACTTCAAGATCTGCCAGTTCTACATAATCCTCATCCTATAGTAATAGCATCCCATAGGAAATATTTAGGGGTAACCTTCAAGGCTTGGTTCTTTCAACAATGGAAGGATACTAAAGTTATCTTGTCAAATCAGATCATGCCACTCCTCTGATTTGAAGCAGAGAGATTCCACCTACTTTAGAATAAAAGCCTTTCTGTGGTCTACCAGCTCCAATATAACCTGGTCTTTGCCTACTTTTTCAATGTTATCTCTCATTACTTTTCTTTTTCTTACTATTCCTAGTCAAATGAGCCTTCTTCTCATTCTTAAATAAGCCAGTCCTGTAGATGTCAGGCCTAGCTTGTTATTCAGCCCAGAATATGCTTCTCTTAGACTTTCTCATTGTTGGCTTCTCTGGGTTTCAGCACCAAATTACCTCCTTATGAGAAAAACATCTGATGCTCTCCTCTCTACAGAAGAATGTTTTAGATCTTCCACCATATATACTTTGCTATATTTTATTTTTTTCATAAAATTCATCATTTGAAAAGTTTTACAGATTTACTTATTATCTATTGCTCCTAAAGAATAAAAATTCTAGGAGAAGTGAAACTTTGTCCTTGTTCATAGCTATACCCCCAGTTTCTAAGAACAGCAGTACACAGTAGTAAGTGGTAAGTATTTGCTAAAAGAATAACAAATGAGTTCCACATGGTGACTCACATCTATAATCCTAGCTACTCAGGAGGCTGAGGCAGGAGGATTATAAGTTCAAGGCCAGTGAGGCCCTGCCTCAAAATAAAAATAAAAAGGACTAGGGAGGTAATTCAGTGGTAGAGGGCCCAAGTTCAAACCCTAGTAATAGAATGAATAAATAAACAAACAAACAAACAATCAGCCTGTCACAACTCAGTTCTGAAAAATTAATCTAGACTACGAAGAACACCAGGTTTGAACTGATCTGCTTGAAATTACTCAAGCAATTTTCAATAGTTATTCTTTCTAAATCCTCCATTTACATCTATGAAGAGTGTCAAAAGACCAACTAATCTAACAAAAGGAGCATAATAGTCAAGGTCCTTGTAATTCTATCCTAATTAATCTACTTTATGTCAATTATGAAGTTAAATTTGTATGTTACACTAAAAGTATGTTTGTTCCTGAATTCTGACAGAATAGGAATGTTGAGCAATGCATAATTTATTATTGTCTAAAATATGTAACATTAAAATTCATAGTCTTATATTCAGAATTTAAAAAACACAAGTTTATATTATATAAACAAATACTTATTATATAGTTACTTTAAGCATTGTAAATAAATACATACCTCCCAAAGCTCCACTGTAATCTAGGCTTTTCTTTTTAAAGCCATTAGAGACAATCAAAACAGGAACAACAACTGAAAATAGCCAACGCCAGGGAGAAATAGGCCGTAAGTTACCTGAAAAGTTATAAATATACAGCATGAGTCATGTGAAGTCTGCATAGTTTAGTTTTGTGAATCAGCTTTGATAATAGCATTCTGGATCAAATACTGTCCTAAGTAGAGGAACTGAGATAAGTCATCAAAGTAGAACATTTATGCTGAGACTTATGTATTTTCAGAGGGGTAGTCTTCCGGGGGAATAGTCACTATTACAAAGTTTTCAGAACTTTTTATAGCTATTTATGATGAAGAGTATCTCAAACATTTTTCTAAAGGTTACATCCAGCTCACAGATATTTTGTTTAGTTCATGGATATTTTAGCTAGCATAGTATTTTCAAATAATTGAGTTAATATTTAAAGATGAGGAAATTTCATATAAAAATTCCTATTCTTAACGTCTGTTTAAAAGAGAAACTGACCAACATGGCAGAACAACTGAAGAAGAAAGGCCACCTCCTTTAGAGGGGCCACAACCTTTCCCTTTAAAATTTTCACCATTGGTACTAAAACTGAATGATTTCTTTATGGTAAAGAAAAACATGAATAACTGCTTGTGTCCATCTTTTTATAAAAAATGGGAAAATAAAAGACAAAGAAGGTCAAGTTAACAACACAAAATAGGAAAAATCCTATTTCTGGATGTGAAAACTATTGATCCATGTCTAATATGCAAAAATCTGCACAGCTTCCTTCATTTGCATCAGGCACTTGGGCCTAGGGGGACACTTCAGACATTCTAGTTCTTTCTATTTAGTTACACAAGAAGTTTCTTCTCATCTCCTTTCCCTCAAACCCTCTCCCCTACTATGCATCATTATCAATAATTAGTCCCAAAAGCTCTGTACAACAAACACCTGATTATTTATATGTCTTTTTGCACAAGGACTAAGTTCTGAAAGAGCAATCATAATCACATAACCATACATGAGTTCAACTATACATGAGTTCACTTTCTCATTCTCCTTACCACTTTTTCCTTTGTTATGAACTGACCACTGCTGTTTTTATAGAGGTATCAAGGAACTTTGTATACAGGCAAGCTTATGCTCTAAAGCAGGATCTGAATCCAAAGTACCTAATATTTATACAAAGTGGCTTCAGGCTTTAAATGGAGACCTTCTTTTTTTTTTTTTGGCAGTGCTGGGGATCAAACCCAGGGCTTTTGCTTACTAGGCGAACATTCTAAGATTGAGCGATACCTTCAATCCTAGAGTTCTTTTGAAGTTATCAAACAGCAGACAAATTCTTCAAATCCTTTAAATTTCCAAATGTAAAGATTATACTGCCTTTAATTTTTACTACATAATACATAAAATTGATCAATTGTATTACAAATATTCTTATCAAAATTAAAATATCACTGAAATTGCTTCACAAATGTTTTATGGTGCTTATTTTTCACCAAAGTGGACAAAATAATTATATGAAATATAAAGACATTTTGAGTTAGGTATAAAGAGTATTACCATAAAGAGCATTTACTAAAATTTTTAAAATGTTCATGGAACTGTTTATATTATCAGGTTAGTAAACTAAATTCAGGCTATCAAAGGTAAGACACACAAACATTCACAACCATTCAGAGGATGTGTGTGGAGAGCAGGTATGTTCTGCTCTGAGTTGCTTCATGCTGTATAGACCTGCAGTGCCTAGCCCTGAGTTACTCCATTTTATGAAGCAGCAGTTTGCCATTAGCTGCTCCATTTTGAGTACAAGTGCTTAGGCGAAAGATTCGGTAATTCGTCTGGGTAAATAGATAACCACAGATATTGTACATACCGAACATAGTGACGAATAACCCTCAGATGCACAAAACAATGTGCAAACTGACACAATACATTAATTGTGCTAATTAAAAATGACCACTAGTGAACTTATTAATTTAAATCAGCACATGGTGCACAGGTGTTTCAAACCCACATCACAGAAACCAGGCATGCCTGTGAGTTATCAAGTTTCACTAGATGCCACACCTTTATACGAAACACACAAAAAGGAAGAGAACCTAGAGGCATGGGACACACTGAGCCCCTCACCACATCATCTCAACACATCAAGAGGTTGAGAGGTAACCAAATTCCTGTCTCCAAGGCTTCAGCTCAATTTGATCTCCCTCCTTGACACAGCCCATTTGAAATTGCCTAGAATAAGTACCCAGCCTTGACAGCTCCTTCCCCTGAATAAATTCTTTGGTAGGTTTATAATTTTATCTGACCACCTACATGACTCTTTTTCGCTTGAATCTGCTCTCTGCTTTGCACTGAGTGCAGCCTCCAGAAACCCCTGGATCACTGTTAACCATTCCTAAAAATTATCTATCTTTGCATAAAGTGTTACAGATATTAATAAATATTGGAATGGAATAAAAGAATTTGTGATTGTCTCAGTTATGACACCAAGTAAACCATAACTATTTTTGGTGAATTAACACTGATAAAAGTTACATAGCTTGTGAATTTGTTATTCAATAAATTCTGATATTGTGGGCTGGGGATGTGGCTCAAGCGGTAGCGCGCTCGCCTGGCATGCGTGCGGCCCGGGTTCGATCCTCAGCACCACATACAAAGATGTTGTGTCCGCCGAAAAATAAAAAAAAAAAATAAATAAATAAATATTAAAAAAAAAATTCTGATATTGTGAAAAGAGACAAACATGTCTGGTCCATGCTAACAGCGTAGCTTACTCACGACGTCAGTTTTGGATTTTATAAAGGTACAGTCTCAAATTCCACCAACTACAGAAAAACAATTTAGAACATTCCTACTTACCATAATAGGTGCTAGCAGTCATTGACATAATCCAGAAAGCTAAGGAAATGCATATGATCAGGCTCAATATTACTATGTTTGTAATCATCTTCATGTATCTTTTGCATACAGTGTCATCAAGATCTGTCATGGAAAATAAGGATATGAACACCTGAGGGAGAAAACAGAACGTTTCTAAGAGAAAGTCATTTAAGTTGCCTCCAAAACACTCATTTAGAGGCAAATATAGATTCCAACATCTTCCACCAACACAAAAAGAAATATAAACTCAAACTCCTTCCAGAAATGTGCTGATGGAGAGCTCGAACTCGTCTGGGCGAGAAGGCTCACTGTTATAAGCAGGGGTGCACCCTCTAGGGCTGGGTCTCCACACACTTGGACTGCGCTGGGACTCCACGGGAAAGGCGGAAGGGAAAGCAAGGCAGCCAATAGGCAGTCAGATCTGGAGAGCTCCGCCCACCGCCCGTCGCAGCCTCCCCGCGTGCCTTCGACCAGAGCAGGTCCTCAGTTGCAAACAGGCAAAATGAGGCACCCGAACCTGGGCGAGTCGGGGAGCCGAGCCCCAGGCGGCCGAACGCTGACACGTCCCGACAGCTGCCTGCGCTGGCCCAGGTCCCAGTCCAGCTTGCCAGGGCCGACAGCCCTGGACCCAGCTCGTGCTTCACGGCTCTTTTCCCCCTTGCGGCTTGCGTCTGTGCGCATGCGCTGTAGTCCGTCACGTAGCGCTTCGCCCACTTGAGCATTTAAAGGGGAAGCGTCGGGGAGGTGCTGGAAACCTGGCCCGACGCGTTTGCTCTGCGGTGTTCCTAAGCCCTTAGGTTTGGTGACGTCCTAGACCGGGTAAAGTGAAACTGCAAGCAGCGCAGTAATGGAAAAGCGAGATGTAACTGATTTTAGAATCAGTAAATGCATTTCAAGCATAATATTCTTATATTCTGTGAGGGCATGCCAAATAACGTTATGACTATTTGGGGGGAGGAGAATATGTTATGTTGTAGAAACGGAATTTTGTGGTTTAGGAAATCATTTAAAACACACAGTTTAGGTGGGAGTGGTTGACACAGCCTGTAATCCCAGACTTTCGGGAAGCAGAATGATTGCACGTTGGATGTCAGCTTTGACCCTGTCTCAAAATCCAAAATAAAAAAGGCTGTGGATGGAACTCAATGGTGAAGTGCCCCTGGGTTTAATCTCAATACCGCAAATAAATAAACGAAATTAAAGTAATAATTGAAACACGCTGTTTAGTCCCTATATGGGCCAGACTCTAAAGATAAAGCTAAACTTCCTGCTATTAGATTCTCATATAATTGTTTTCATAACACCACTTAACATTGTGAAAACGTCTGCCCTCGCACTCATATTTAAAGTATGTGCCTTCGATTCAATTTATTTAAAAAGCGAAAGTCTTCTTAGCATTAATAATTCATCTTAGCTGATTTTGTGTTTTATTTGCAATTAATGTTTTGTTTGCCTTAGTTAATAGTAACTGATAATTATATTTCTGAAATTTTTTTCAGTTAATTTCTGATAGTATAGGAAGAGTGAAGACCGGTTCAGATGGTTCACAATGGTAACCCAGTAGTTATTTTTAAAAAATTCATTATTTCCACTAACAGTAATTACTTTTTAAAAACGCACATTATTTTGAATCTCTAAATACAATTTACATGCCTTTTCTTTGGTAAAACATCTAATTAGCTAGTCAACAAGACCCAAATCTGTTTAGTAGTTCTAAATATAATAGGCTTGTTTTTATTGGACTGTATATGTTCCTCCAAATGTAATTTTAAATTCCTTTGACTTAAAAAGACAGAATTTTAGACCTTTTTGTGGACACAGAAATTTATTATGTACCCACTTTATTTTTGTCTGTTTTGCATAGACAATCAGAATTACCCATCTAGTATTAGTGTTACCAGACTACAGACTATTGTGTAGTTACAGTTAATAATAAAAGCAGATATTTTTATGGATTGCAGTGACCTTGTTGTTTTTGGTCTCTCCTTAAACAAAATTATGAATTGGTCTTGTTTGTTTTGCTTCATCACAGTCATAGGGAGACCTTGTCCATCAGTTGGTGTTCCGAGAAGACCACCATCTACAATCATCAGGCCATTCCCTTAAAAACAATGAGGTCTATCTGTGTCAAGTCAGTTCCTATTGTTTCTTGTAATTGTTGGATCTGGTTAAAATTGCATATTAAATCATAGTACCAGTGAACTGACCCGTTGTTACCGCTGTTTACCAGTCCTTGCTTCCCTGAATGCTGAAGTATAACACCAGAGAAGCATGCGGAGGCAAGTGTAGAGTGGAAAGTGGAAGGCTTTATTAAAGGACAGCAGAAAAGACTTCTCCTGGGAGGAAGGGGACCCAAAAGGTGGAATCATGGAAGGGCGAGGTCTTCCCTTTTTTATAGCTAAGGTCTTCTTTTAGTTTTCCCACATTCATGTCCTTTGTTTCCCTTTATCTTGCAGTGATAGAATGTGCTTGTGGGAAGGCCATAAGGTGGGAGATAGGTGGGTTGGAGGAGTAATCTGGGCAGGAAGGGCCTGGGGTAGCTGTTTGCTGGGAGCTACTTCATTAACATTTCCTTAGGATGGGTTCCGGGACTTGGGGACATTAACATTTCAATTTCCCCAAGTGCTGTTCTGGTTTCCTGGACTCCATTCTCAATAATGGTCTCCATTTTCTTTATCTTACTCGATATTAGACCTGATTTACCTAACTACACTACCAACCTACCTTTAAATCTGGCTTCACCTTCAAATGAATATTTCTCCTCCAGGGCACAAGTATTGGTGGTGTTCTCCATAAAACAAGCTATTCTAGCTTAAGACTGAAACCATTTGGGGGAATTGAAGTAGCCAATATTAAGATAGTATTTTGTGAATTATTTTTATAATCAGAAAAATAAATTTTAAGATCACAATCTTTTTGTTGTTAAAACAATGCTTTGATAATCATCTACAATTAAATCTTTGTGAGGGCCTCATATTCTCAGAATAGACTCCTAGAAAGAGCACTTTTATAGCCCTTAATATATCTAGCGTAAGTTGCATAAGCAGCATTTAAAATAGTGCAAATAAACTATAATGTATATTTATATATAACTTCAGCAACAAATGGGAAACTAATTCCTCTTCAGTGATTTAAAGATCATTGTTTTACAATTTGCTTCAATTTAGGAAGAAGGAATTCTGCAGAATCTGGCGGGGGAGGGGGGTCAAATTGGGGAAGGACTTAACTCAGGAATGTTTGTAGTTTATAGAAATAACAGACATGACAGCAATTTCCTTGGAAAAAAGTATTTAATATTAACAAACTTCAAATACATTTTTGTGAATACAATATGCAGTTGTTGAATATACAGTACAAAATCCTTAATTTTAGAAAGTTTCCAACTGTCCAGATATCAAAAGAATCCTATTTCTTGTATAAAGATGAGCCATTTTCCATATCATACCAAAATTAAAATTGACCCGTATTCTAACACTGCAAAATGAGAAAACAAACATTATTAAGTCTACCCAGAAAAGAACAATGACCTCACAGATTATCTGTATATACACATAAAATTTTATATTATTTTTTTGAGATGATTTGTATTATTTTAATAACTAGATTTATGTTAAAGGGTTAGAATGTGGAGGGCAGAGGGAATCTGAAGGCAGAAGATCTGTGTTCATTCTAGAATTTTTTTAGACCACAGTCATTTATATTTCTTCTTTTTTTAAAATTTGTTTTTTAGTTGTAGATGGACACAATACCTTTATTTTACTTGTTTTTATGTGGTGCTGTGGATTGAACCCAGGGCCTCACAGGAGCTAGGCGAGCTAGGCGAGCGCTCTGCCACTGAGCCACAATCCCAGCCCAAGGCATTTCTATTTCTAGTGCAAGTTGGCACAGTAAATGTCTGAATAAATAAGTTGAATCAACAGAGGATTCTTATGAAAATCAGATACTACCACCTACCACACTTAAGTTTTTAAAGAAAAAGTAAGAGAACAAATGGATGCCAACTGTTTTGTAAAGATTGAGTTACTTTATTTTAGAAATCTATAATAGGGTTTGTTATTTTGTATAAAATATCAAATTTCAAATAAACTCCAGTACTTAGCTTTGATGTAATATTTTCTTTATAGCTGTTTTCCTTTTAGCAAAGATTCTATTACAGATTAGATCAGTGTTCATTTTAAAGGGTAAAAATGCTCAGATAACACTGTAATTCAGTTCAAACACCAATGTCCTTCTACCTCCTTTGGTAAGTCTATAAGAAATCTGAGCTGGGTGTGGTGGCCTGTAGTCTCAGCCCTTAGAGGATCCCTTGAGTTCAGGAGATTTAAGACCAGCCTGGGCAACACAGTAACACCCCAATCTCAAAAAAAAAAAAAAAAGAAAAAGAAAAAGAAAAAAAAATAAGTTTCATTTCAAAAGAAAATTATTTGATTATATGTTCTCATTGACTTCTACTTCCAGTGTTTTTCAAAGTACTTTATACCTTTTGTAGCATTTTCATATGGTATTATAAATATTTCTTTCAGGAAACTTTGAGCAACATAAGGGCAGAATATCACATTACATTCATCTTTTTTTTTTTTTGGATTTAACATAGGCCCTTTTGTGAGCTAAGAACACTCTACTATCACAAAGGTACACCTCCAGCTCAATATTCACTTTTATATCATATCCTTTAGCTGTTTGGTTAATTGCCAGTAGACACAATAAATGAACACAGGATCTGTGTTGTGTTCAGCCAAAGAAAGTTATTTGGATTAGTTTTATGGTGTTCAGTCAAGTGCTAAAATCTATCAGTAAACTGAATATAGGATTTATACATTCTTTCTTACATTTTTCTCTGTGAATGAAGTTTGTCTTAAGGTGGACAGATATCCATTAATAAAATAATTTACTGCAGGAAGGATTTTGAGCATGTTACCAGTATAGTAATATGAAAATTATAAGGTGAAAACAAAAAGAAATTACTCTAAAATTGCTGAGTGGTAGTTGATTTCAATGGTGTCAAATAATAGTGAATTATGATTACATTTGCTAAAAGCTTATTGTATTTTACCTATTTATGATTTTTAAAATGTTATCAAGATACTGTGTATAGAAACAGGTTGCATTAATGCTTTGTTTTGTATTTGGAGTGGGAGGGGTGCACTGCATGAGATTCTATACTTGGAAAATTTATGTTAAAATGATTATTTGCCCAACTTACTTTTTTTTTTCTTTTCCATTCACATATGATTTTTTTTTTTTTAAATTTTTGTTGTTGGTTGTTCAAAACATCACATAGTTCTTGATATATCATATTTCACACTTTGATTCAAGTGGGTTATGAACTCCCATTTTTACCCTGTATACAGATTGCAGAATCACATCAGTTACACATCCATTGATTTACATATTGCCATACTAGTGTCTGTTGTATTCTGCCGCCTTTCCTATCCTCTACTATCCCCCCTCCCCTCCCCTCCCCTCCCCTCTCTCTACCCCCTCTACTGTAATTCATTTCTCCCCCTTGTATTTTTTTTCCCTTTCCCCTCACTTCCTCTTGTATGTACTTTTGTATAACTCTGAGGGTCTCCTTCCATTTCCATGCAATTTCCCTTCTCTCTCCCTTTCCCTCCCACCTCTCATCCCTGTTTAATGTTAATCTTCTTCTCATGCTCTTCATCCCTACTCTGTTCTTAGTTACTCTCCTTATATCAAAGAAGACATTTGGCGTTTGTGTTTTAGGGATTGGCTAGCTTCACTTAGCATAATCTGTTCTAATGCCATCCATTTCCCTGCAAATTCTATGATTTTGTCATTTTTTAATGCAGAGTAATACTCCATTGTGTATAAATGCCACGTTTTTTTAATCCATTCGTCTATTGAAGGGCATCTAGGTTGGTTCCACAGTCTAGCTATTGTGAATTGTGCTGCTATGAACATCGATGTAGCAGTGTCCCTGTAGCATGCTCTTTTTAGGTCTTTAGGGAATAGACGGAGAAGGGGAATAGCTGGGTCAAATGGTGGTTCCATTCCCAGCTTTCCAAGAAATCTCCATACTGCTTTCCAAATTGGCTGCACCAATTTGCAGTCCCACCAGCAATGTACAAGTGTACCCTTTTCCCCACATCCTCGCCAGCACTTGTTGTTGTTTGACTTCCTAATGGCTGCCAATCTTATTGGAGTGAGATGGTATCTTAGGGTGGTTTTGATTTGCATTTCTCTGACTGCTAGAGATGGTGAGCATTTTTTTATGTACTTGTGCCCAACTTACTTTGAGTTAAAAGTAAATATTATCAGAGTGTTTGTTGATTATATACTGATACTTGAGATTATATACTGGCACTTGGGATTATATAAAGGAATTTGAAACTATATTAGGAAAAAACATGCAGTAATAATTCTAAAGAATTATGTCCAATAGTTATAAAATAACTAACAAGGTTCATACCGTCTTCGAAAGGATTTTCATAAATGCTTCTTATAAGTACCACATGAGAACTAAGAGACTTTTTTTTTTTTTTTTTTTTAGTACGGGGATTGAACTCAGAGGCACAGCTACATTCCCAGCCCTTTTATTTATTTATTTATTCATTCATTTAATTTGTTCTAATTAGTTATACATGACAGTAGAATGCATTTTGTTTCATTGCACACAAATGGAGCACAACTTTTCTTTGATTGTACGTGATGTTGAGTCACACCATTTGTGCAATCAATACACAATGGAATATTACTCAGCATTAAAAGAGTAAAAATAAAATTATGGCATTTGCAGGTAAATGGATGGAGTTGGAGAATATCAGGCTAAGCAAAGTAAACCAATCCCCAAAAGCCAAAGGCTGAATATTTTCTCTGATAAGTTTATGCTGATCCATAACGGGGGTGGGTGGGGTGGGGTGGGGTTGGGGGGGTGGGAGAGGGCATGGGAAAAATGAAGGAGCTTTTAATTTTGAAACAGGATCTTGCTAAATTGCTAAGGCTGTTCTTGAACTTCTGATCTTCTTGCCTCAGCCTCCTGAATTTCTGGGATTACAAGAGTAAGCTACCACTCCTGGGTGGAACTAAGAGACTTTTTAAATGACTAGTGTCATTAAAAAATAAAAAAGTAATCTAAACAGTTGGCAAAAGAAAAAATGTCATTTCTTTACAGGAAACATTTGTAATAATTTATGTATGTATATGCTACTTTCTTAAGTAGTATCAGAAGCTTGAAGTAGGATTAAATAACTTTATAATATATTAATAAATTTTACATGAGTTGACAAAAGTTTTTGGGAAGAAAGCGTTCTTATTAAACATTTGATGAAATGAAGTAGTTCCTTTAATTGTTCAAGTGGTGACCATAAGAATAGTTCTAATATTTTATACATTAATAAGCACTAGGATAGTTTTTTAAAATATTTTTTAGTTGTAGAGGGACACAATCTTTATTTATTTTTATGTGGTGCTGAGGATAAAACCCAGTGCCTCACACTTGTGAGGCAAGTGCTTTACCACTGAGCTATAGTCCCAGCCCTTGGATAGTTTTATTACATGTATTTTTTATATAGAACTACATTTTATTTCTCTCATGAAGTATGGTTGCTGTTTGTTCACTTAAAAGAAAAGAGATAAAAAGCAATCTGGTGTGCAAGATAAACTGATTCCATTTTAAGTTGTGAATTATGAAGATATAAAATGGTAAATACTTTTGTGATTACATTTTACTGTGAGTTTACAAAGAAGGAAGAGAAGCCCACAATACTTACTGAGATACATAAGAATTTAATGAGCTACAGAAGAATTTAAAAGTAGTTAAAAAACAAAAAGCTTCAAGAGTTTTGCTGTCAACACACATGAGAGCAGAGCTGAATAGGGAACTTGGTATTAGGGAATTTGCTTATTAATGCACCAGCTTTGAAGCTGGAAATGTAATATTTTTATTATAAGAAAAAAGGAGTACACATTTATTTGTTTTATTAAGAACAAGCTAAATCTTGAATTTTTCATTATTTTACAACATGTTTTCTTAGAAGATGAGCATTATCAGCTATTAGTTTTTACTACTGTGAGGTACTTGAGGACTCATTCATGGTCTGGATAAGTCAAAGGTACTTCATGTTCAAAAAATAACTATTTTTAAAACCTGTTTTAAAATGTAATATTTTTATAAGGATATAAGGAAGGCCGTGATAAACTTACTTCTACTGGTAAGAAAAATACGGGAATAAAAATAAATAAAAGAATGTCCCTGCACCTCAGTTTTTTTTTTAAATATTTATTTTTTAGGTGTAGATGGACACAACACAATGCCTTTACTTTTATGTGGTGCTGAGGATCAAACCTGGGTCCCGCCCATGCAAGAGGAGCGCTCTACCACTGAGCCACAATCCCAGCCCTGGTACCTTAGGTTTTGTTTGTATAAATTTTAAAACAGCAGTGCCAGTCATAATTTAATTAATACAAATCTAACAATTTCAAAGTCACGTTTAATGCAAGTAATTTCTACTTAGCGTCTTCTTTAAAATGTAATATCCCAACTTTGGTACAGGAAAAATTTTTTTCTAACATAAATTAAACATATTTGTCATAAGCTGTTCTTTAACAGTAGTTAAAGAAAAACTTTGCAAACATGATTTTCTGGCAAAATTTCTAAGTACATAATTCTCATGTAAGGCACTTCCATTCATTCTCAAAAAAAAAGTTTCATAAAAAATTTTCTATTTTCTTTTGTAATCAAGTTTTCATAAGTTATAAAGTAATTATGTTACTTCAAGTAAAACTTTATTAAATACTAAATTTTGGCATAATTGCCATAAGTATCTTTACCTCTGAAAATAATGAAGGATGGTCATCAAGTTCTGTGAAGATAAACTTAAAAGATAATCTTGGTCTGTTTAGATTTAGAGAATTGGTAATGTTTTATCCTGTTGATTTTGTTCAACAATCTTGAAATCTTCCAAAGGAAGATTGCTTAAGGCAGTTGGTAAAATCTGTTCTGATGTGCCCTTAGGTAATATGTTATTTGCTTCTAAATTCTTCACCAAGCATGTGGCTTTGATCCATCTTCGAGTTGCTCTTCGTTCTTTTTGTAGGCAAGTTTTCATTTTTCTTCTTAAGCTTGCTATTTCCTTTTCCAGTTTAATTATCCTTTTTTTTGCCTCCATTGGATTCCTAAAGGCATAACTGTGTTCAAGTAGTACTTGTTGACTACTAATGTTTGATTTTAAATTAGATGGTCCTGCTGGAGTACAACTGTTGTTTTTCTTCAAAAGATTCCTTGACTTGAGTTTCTGAGCCAAATAAAATTACAGAGTTGAACATAAATTATGGAATACCACAAATAAGTAAATATTGCCCAGTTTTGGAGTATTTAAACTATACTTTAAGAACTGATTTTAAAAGTTTGATGGGAAAACAGCAGGCTTTTTCATGTAATCATGGATCAAGTTTCTCGCCTGGCTGAGTGAACTCTAGTCACCTTTTGTCCTTTATCTCCAGGGATATTCAAACATTGATTTTGAAATAAACAATGGGCTGCCAAGGTATCTTCCAAATTACTGAGCATGATTCTATGGAGACTTTAAAAATCCTTTGCTATTTTCCTACTTAGGCCAATTTAGAAATGTAGACATTTTGTTTATCTGTGATAATTGCTTTGATTCCCTTTTTAGTTAAATATTATTCTCTCAATTTGATAAATTAAATACAAATTGAAGGAACATATTCTCAAGTATCAAGCTTCTAAATAGACTTATCTATTAATTATTCACAGTTATATCTTCATGGATTTAAAATCTGGCTAAATTTTTGCCTAAATCAGAAATTTCAGGACACTTTTGTCCAATATACTCTAAGAATATCAAATGATTCCTAGATTATATCTTCATAACACTGTATCTTTCATTCATTAAATAAACACTGAAACACTACTATGAATTCCTGGGGAAATAATGGTGAATATAAAAGACAAAGGTGATTCCTGTTCTCATGAAAACTGCAATTGCTCTCTACATAAGGAATTGGCAGGGTCTTTCTTTTTTGCTGTTTATATTTTCGGCATCTAAGATTATTATTGGATGAATAGATTATCAAAATATTAGAAATAAGGTACATTTTGCCATACTTGGTGGCACATACCTATAATCCCAACAACTTGAGAGGCTGAGGCAGGAGGATTGCAAGTTTGAGGACAGCCTCAGCAATTTAGTGAGACCCTGTTTCAAAAAAAACAAAAAAGGGGAGGGGAGGCTTAGTAGGTAAAGCACCCCTGTGTGTAATCCCAATACTTGGGAGTGGAGTGCAGAAAAGAAAGAAATAAGGTACATTTTAAATTTAGCAGATATTTAAGTACTATATTGTGTTTCAGGCAGTGTGAGAGGCTTAAGTGTTGAAAATAGTGAAAAAGTTCTGGAGCTTGTTTAACATTTGTGATGTTAGGAAACCAGAAGCTCCTTAATCATCTAGATACTCATATCCACTTACAGCATCAGGTCCCCCACCCCCATCCTGGGCAACCCCACCCCAGGGAGCCCCCTCTCCACCGCCCCCCCCCCCACTTACAAATTTAAGTATCACAAATACCTCAGGGAAAAGTGTTGTTTTTCCTTTCCAAAGAAAAAATGTCTGTCCTTTTCAAAGGGAAACCTTTCCCCCTATTTGTGTTCATTCTCCTTTTTTTTTGTGACCTTTCTCTGATCAGATCTTCCTTAACTTGATAAAAATTCATTCATTCATCTCTCCTTTATTTTCTCCTTCCATCAAAATATCACTTTCAATATTTGATAATTTCCCACTCATCATCAACCCAATGGCTTTGTTCTTAATTTCAATTACAGTTGTTCTGTACAAGATAAAAAACCTCCCAAGTTCCAAGACTCTTAAGTCCTCAAGTCTAGATTGAATGCTTCAGCTCTGTCAAGTTTTCTGTCATGCCTCCCTCTGAACAAAGAGAGGCATATCCTTTGGTATAACTTAGAATTTGTTGCTCTTAAAGCATTGGGGACATATTATATGCATGTCATCTTAAAATTGGAACAGAATGCTGCTGGAGTTGTATTACTACTATTTCTAAGTTTCACCAATGGTATATTTATTGATAATAATCAGTACTTGGATAATAATTGGTAAGATTCCAATACAGATCAAGTGTCCTTTGTTAGAAATGCTTTGGATCAGAAGCGTTTCAGATCTTTTTCATATTTTGGAATATTCCATAGACTTTATCAGTTAAACATCCTTAATCCAAAAATTCACATTAGGACTGCTCAATCTGGATAGTAAAACAATATGGCTTGGTGAAATAATATTGGAATCAGGACATCTGAGTTCTAATTCTACCTTGTGCCTTTATTACATAAGAGGAAGATCTATAACTTTCTTGAGGCATATTGCTGTATGTGAATTTTTCTATATTCTGAATTTTATCTTCTATAAATAAAAAGGAATGGTTTCTAAAAATGGTTTTTGAAAAAAATAACATTACCTACCATAGACTTTATATGGGTACAAAAATCAAAAATGGTTGGAACAGCATCCATTTTAAGTCGTCGAGTTTGTCCTGTTAGGTCAAAACAGGAGGCTTCAAAGTGCTTTGAACAAAGAAAAGTGTGTTTTCCTGGTACAAAGTTTTTGCGTCTAACTAGGCGAACCCATTCTTTTCTTCTTTTAGGATCCAAAGGAAACCTTAAAACAAACAAACCAAAAAGGCAACTCAAATTCCAACTAGCATACTTCTGGCTGTACCTAAATGATTAAAAGAAATTTAAAAGTGTCTCCCATTTACATAAAAAAATTTAAACTCATAATATCCAGATATAGAAAAGAAACCAATTCATGCTGAGTTTTATAAATTGTTAAAAAAAAATTGTAAAAAAAGATTGAGCAGATTTATTTTTCACAGACTTTAAAAAGAGACATTTCTTACCAGTTCTTAACATGGATAGTAAAATAAAACATGACTAAACTTATCTAGATAAATTTTATGTAGAACTATTATAAGCAGCAGCAAATTCACAATGCTGTGATTTGTGCTGGTTGCATAAAAATTAAATTTTATTAAGGAAAGTCTGGGAAGATTCTGGTACTCCTTCCTGTGTTCCATAATTATAATACCACAGTATTCTGTAATTTTTCCATTTTAATAAAATTCCAGTAAATTGTTTCTTGAAAATAGGGATCATTATTATATTTTTAATTTATTTATCTTAGACACCTAACACAGTATCTTGCAAATACAAGGAACTCAACAAAAAAATATGATACAGATATTTATTTACTTACTTATATTTTTTATGGTACTGCAGATTGAACCCAGGGCGCTTAACCACTGAGCTACATCCCCAGCCCTTCATATATATGTATTTTAATTTTGAGACAAGATCTCACTAAGATACTTAGGACCTTCTTAAGTTGATGAGGCTGGCTTTGGACTTGCAATCCTTCTGCCTCAACCTTCAGAGCTGCTGGGAGTACAAGCACACGCCACCCTGCAGGCTTTATTTTTTGAGACAGGGTTTCACTAAGTTGCTGAGGCTGGCCTCAAACTTGTGATCTTCCTGCCTCAGCCTCCCAAGTAGCTGGGATTAGAGGCATGTGCCACTGTGCCCAGCTAAATACATAATATTTCAATTAATTCACTGTATTATTTCCATGTAGTTAAACTACATATATATATATATATGTATATATATATATATATATTTTTTTTTTTTAAAAACCAACTCAATTTATATAGTGTAGCAGAAAGTAAAATTAGAAAAACTCAAAATGCCATTCACCAATGTTTTTCCCTTCATATTTCTCTCAAAAACCAAATAACTGACATGTACCTAATGTATACTTGTTAAGGAAGAGACAAATATACAAGGGCTGTCTCTAAAAATCTACTAGTAACTGTGATGACTGACTATTCTTCTTTAGTTTAAGTATTAATTATGAACTGACTTGTATATAAAAAGAACCAAAAAAAAAAAAAAAAAAAAAAAAAAAAAGGATCATAGCTAGGGATATAGCTCAATGATATAGCACTTGTCTAGCATGTGTGAGGCCCTGGGTTTGATCCCCAGCACTGTGGGTGGTGGTGGTGGTGGGGGCTGAATAATCCACATCAAATACGTGCTTCAGAAATTCTGAAGTGAAACTTCAGGACCTTGGAGGTAACAGATTTTATACTGTCCTATACAGTCCTAGTTTTACATTGCTAGTGATGATAGACACAAAGAAATGAAAGTCCAAATTTCCAGTAAACATTGCCCATCTCCTATCCTCAAGGCCAGTCTCAGCAACTTAGCAAGACCTTGTCTCTAAATAAAAATATTTTAAAAGGGCTGGAGATATGGCTCAGTGGTTAAGCACTCCTGGGTTCAATCCTTAGTACCAAAACCAAACAAAACCAAAACCCAAAATCTTTGTTCCATTATTTTAGTGGTTTGGAAATGTTTCCTAATCCAAAGCTAAAAATCAGACCTTAGTTAATTTCTTCTTGGGGCCTCAATGGAGACTCAGAACAAATAAATACAATCACTGTATTTTTATTTGCATAAAACTCTTCAAATACAGAAAGACTGTCTTTCAGATGTTATTTTTCAGCTGGATTTTTTTGGTACCACAGATTGAACCCAGGGGCACTTAACCACTGAACCATACCCCCAGCAGCTGGGATTATAGGCATGTGCCATGATGCCCTGCTCAGCTTCTTATTTATTTATTTTTGGTGCTAGGGATTGAACCCAGGGCCTTGTGCATTCGAGGCACACACTCTACCAACTGAGCTATATCCCCAGCCTCTTATTCTCTTTTTTAAAGCCCTGTTTTAAAACTGTTCCTTAATATTGAAACCAGTGCGTCAAATGGAACCTTAACTTGACCATATTGTGCTTGCTTCTTTTAAGACTTTTAGGAATCCCATTTTACTAAGAATATTTTTTCTTTATCAGAAGACTGGGTTAGATGTTGCTATATCATATATCACTGAAATCACCATATTCTAATTATTTACCTTTCCGGCTCCCCACTAGATTTTAAGTTTCTGTAGAGTGAGGTCTAGGTTTTTGACTACTTTATCCCTGGGTCTATCATTATTATCTACCATAGTGCCTGTTAAGCACTTGAATGTTTTTGAATCAATCAGTAGATGAACTAATGGGGCTAATGTGGCATTATCAAATAATCTTTAGATTATCCATGCTAAAATAGAATAATAATCAACAATTTTATATTTGATTTTGGTATAATTTTATATAGCATTAATCTTAACCAGGTTTTGTATGTGTCATCTGAATTTTTCACAGTATATTTAAAGGGTAGAAGATGTAGCCATCAGCCAAATTTAAGTAGTAATAAACCATCTTATAAATATTAAAAAACTAACATGGTGGTAACAGATATATTCTTTTTTTTTGTTTTTCTTTCCTTTTTTAAATTGATTTTTTAAAAAATAAATGACAACGGAATGCATTACAATTCTTATTACACATATACAGCACAATTTTTCATATCTCTGGATGTACATAAAATATGTTGACACTAATTCGTGTCTTCATACATGTACTTTGGATAATGATGTCTATCACATTCCACCACCCTTGCTAATCCCCTGCCCCTTTCCTTTCCCTCCCACCACTCTGCCCTATCTAGAATTCATCTATTCCCCCGATGCTCCCCTTCCCTACCAGATATATTCTTAACTGTTGAACAAGAGAACCAGGCTTTTATGAATATGATGTTTTGGAAATAACTCAGTAATTTGAACAATGCTATCTTCCTTGCATCTTTAATAAATAGTTGACTGCCTCCTATGCTCCTTGGCACTGACGACATGGCTGTAAACAGTTTTGATGTCTGTCATCTGAGTGTATATATAATGTAGTGGGGTAGAGAATCAAATAGAAGTAGACAACAAATGGCTGACAACATCGTCTTTGGACAAACCAGGTCTCCAATACTGGTTCCTTTTCAATAATAGCTAGGTGACTTTAGGCAAGTTAAGCTTTTTTTTTTTTTTTTTTTAAACATTTTTAGTTGTTGATGGACATAATACCTTTATTTTGTTTATTTAGTTTTATGTGATACTGGGGATCGAACTCAGTGCCTCACATGTGCTAGGCAAGTGCTCTACCACTGAGCTACAACCCCAGCCCTGCAACTTAACTTTTTTAGTTCTTGTTTGTATCTACAAAGTAAGGTAAGAATGGCTCTAACAATTAAACATAAATGCCTAACTAATGCACAGTGCATGGTAAATACTAAAGTTTACTTATTATTATTATAAACGTAATAATTGTTATGAATATTATAAAAAGTCTATGTACAGGGCCATATAGAATCATAAAACAGAAAGGGCTCATCAGTCAGGAGCCCTCAAGCTGGACATGGTGGCACACCCCTGTAATCCTAGCAACTGAAGAGGCTGAGGCAGAAGGATGGCAAGATCAAGGCCAACCTCAATAACTTAGTGCGATTTTGTCTCAAAATAAAAAAATAAAAAGGAATGGGGATGTAGTTCAGTGATAAAGTACTTCAGTACAAAAACAAACACTTAAAAGAATAGGAATAGCTAGTGAAGCTAAATGGGATTAGTGAAGAGTGTTGAGTATCTTGGGGACAGGAAATGTGATATGACATGAGATGATGCTGGAAGGCCAAGTCCAAATTTTTGAAGTTTGTCCAAAATGGCACTGGTAAGCCATTCAAAGGCTGAAATATAAAAGCTGTTGACAGAGAAATTTTGAACTGGTTGTTAAATATAACCATTACCACAAATTAATTTATACAAATTCACAAATAAAATCCCAAATAAATACTAAATACCCAAATTTCCTAATTATTTTATTATTTTCTAATCTTTTAATGTTATTTATGTCTAGTATCTTTAGGGTAGAAATATTACAGCATAGTATATCATATATCTCTTCTCAACTCCATATCAGTTATGTCACATTGGCAGCTTGAAACTAGACTTCAGGGAAGTTAGGTAAACATTATAAATCTGGCCTTTCTACTTCTTAGTACAGCCAGTTGTTAAACATTTAGCTACACACCATTGATTATATTAGATTGGTTAGCAGTGCATAATGAAAGCACTGAACCAATTAAGAGGCTGTTGTAATAATCAGATCAAGAGGAAATGTGAGAAGTCAAGGGATGCTGACTTCTAAGTATCCAGGTAGATGGTGTTTCCCTTTACTGAAAATCAGAATACAGAAGTGGTCTTTGTTTGTGGTATTGGAAATTCACTATGAATATTGAATCTGCTGGACTGGCAGGAGATAAGAGTGTGAAGATCTAGATTAGGGAGTAGGGAAAAGGGCTAGCAGAACAAATCTGAAAATTAGCCAAAGAAGAAAATTACACAATTATTGTCAGTAGTCTAAAAGTATAGAGGATTTCAAGGAGGAAATTATTAGGAGAATGAGTGTGGAGAAAGACATGTAGTAATGGCAGTTTCAGATTATTAAGGAGACTTAGACTGCAATAGGCTAAAAGGTAAGAAAAGTGGAGACTGTAGACTTAGGCAGTATCATTTGTACACAGGAATAAAGAAGTCTGCTATGTCCTGGGTGGAAACGCGTTAATTAAATGGTTTTACTTATGAAACAAGAATTTGTTTTTATTATAGTTATTTCTACTTTAAGACCTGAATTTCTCAGATTACACATAAAAATTTTAATTTCATGACTAAGTGCATTATCATACATACCATCATCTCTTAAACCATAATTAGTGTCTGGACTTCTCCCTCTCATCTTCCATATCAGATTACCAAATCCAGTAATTTCTCCTCAATCATTTCTCAAATCTGTCCAATTCTATCCATCCCTACTATTAATACCATGCAACTTTAGCTGGGCCACTGCGTAGATTCCTATTGACTACAGTTTAATTTGTGGCTATAAACTCTCACCTCCCCTAATCCACCACTCTTTGTGTTAGTAAACTAATTGGTAGCATTTAGTTCAGTTGATACTGTAGCAGGATTTCCTTGTGAATGAAATAGTAAGTAAATTAACATTCTATAATATGCTGCTTTCTCATCAAAGTCATTTCTAATGATGCTTGACTAGCACCTAATTCTCTAATTGTCCACACTGCAGGAGGCTTAATATGCAAATCTAATCTTGTCATTATTCTTTTTAAACTCTCCATGACTTCTTAAGTACTCTTAGAATAAAATAGAATTCTTAAGTAACATACAGGACCAAGTCTTTCATACTTTGGTCTCATTTCAAATGTCACATCCTTTGAGAAGTGTTCTTTCCAAGGCTAAGTTAGGTCTATCTAAAACAAAATTTTTTTTGGTACAGGTAATTATTTATGTCTTTCTTCCCCATTCAACTCTAAACTCTAGAAAGTTAAGAACTTTCTGAATCCTTAACACAATGTCAGGCAATTAGGAATTCAGTATATATCCGATGGATGAATGAATAAAGCACTACATTTGCATTAAGTAGTTTAAAAACAAACATCACAAGGATTTTTTTTTTTTAATGGTAGCTTTAGTAATGGGTGTGCTTTTAGTAATAGTGAAGTCGGGAAAAGGTTAAAAATATGATTTTCTATATAAGTTCTGAGGTATATAAAATCAGAATTGTTTTCATTTAACTTTTTAATATTTCTTTTCTTTGGGCAGGTGGAAGGCACCTGAAGAGAAGATGAACATGTACCAAGTACCTATTATATGTCAGGCAGTCTTCAAAGTGCCTTCAAGAGTTCTGATTTGACAGAGTTAAAGAATTTGGATTGCTTTTCTAGCAAACGGAAGGAGAAATAAGGCCTCGGTTCTTTCTATTTCTCTGTTCAAGAAAGCTTACTTATCTTTTGCTCTTTCACTAATTGCTTCATTTTATAGCTATCAATTATGACTCAGTTCCTCCGCAGTTATTGTGTGTGTGTGTATTAGAAATTTAAATGCTTCCCATGTCAGTTAAGCTAATGAGAATTCTCCAGTTTTAATGGGAACATAGCAGGCTTTTCAAACGGTGACTGTTGACTGGAAAGGGGTAAGATCCTCTCCCTTATGGCGTCATTCTTATCAAGACATGGACTAATATTTAGGAGCAAAAAGAGTGGAAAATTAAGGTATCCTGCTGTCACTTTCTCTAAGGAGTAGTCACCGTACAGTACTTGGATTTCTTTTAGAAAACGAGTAAAACTTTCCCTGAGGGAAAAATTGGACAGATTTGAGAAACACAAGGACAAAAATGATGTCTTCCTTGTCACTAGTTGGGAAAGTTGGTAAAAATTAGAATTCTCCTGTTCCTTCTACACAAGCAATACTCAGACTAGCATCTCCCATTTCCGTCACCCCCACTCCCTCCCCAGGTTACCTGTGGAAGCTGATGTTAATGTGCTTGTTGTAGGTAGTTGCACAGCCCGCTGCGGCGCAATTGGTCGGCATTTCCCTTTACCCCTCATTCGGTGCTATCTGAGCTGCTAAGCTTTCTTCGGACAAAGGCTAGACAACTGAGGCAAGCGAAGGGCCCAGCAAGCTTAGTCGCGAAAGCAGGGTGGGGAAAAGGGTGTGTATGGAAGGAGGGTTGCAAAGGAGGGTCAACCTTCCCTTTCTCTTTAATAATATGGCGGATTTGCGCCCGCAGAGCCAACCATCCTGGAGCTCTAGGCGCTTTCGTCTGCCTTCACCAATATGGCGGACCCCCCTCCCCGGTTCCCTGAAGGGAGTATCTTTGGCAGTGGTCCTCGGAGCAATTGAAAGACAGAGGTGTTTTCCCCTCGGATTACCACGAAACGTTCTGACATCTGCAATAAGCAGGTCCGCCCACCCCGGCACGCACCCAGTTGTCCCAATTCCGAGCCTGGGGTGGGTGTGAGCCGGAGACCCGAAGGGCTAACCCGATGGCAGGAGAGAGACTACAAATCTCGGCGAGCACTGCGATAGTCGTCAGTATCGCGTGAGCTGGGAACCACGTTTCCTGCGTGCTGTAGGAAGTGACGTCTCGGACACCGCCGCTTCCACTGCCCCCATCTCGCGAGGCGGAAGAGCCCTGATCGCCGAGGAGCAAGGGGGCGCTAGGAGAGGGAACTGGCTTGCGACGGTCCGGCGAGAAAGAGCTGGGGTGCGGGCAAGTTGGGGAGCAGAGCCCGCTAGGTGTCTGAGTACGGTAAGGCCGCACCTATCGAGTCTGTTAGTAAAGAAAGGAGCTGAGGAGAAAGGCAATTGTCGGGCGGATCCCGGACGGAGGGCTAAGGTTGTGTGGAAGGTGCTGCTCCCCGGATGGCGACCGCTGATACTTCGGCCCCGGCCTCCAGTGGCCTCTCGCCGAAGGAAGAAGGGGAGCTTGAAGATGGGGAGATCAGCGATGACGATAACAACAGCCAGACACGGAGCCGGAGTAGCAGCAGCAGCAGTGGCGGCGGCCTGTTACCGTATCCGCGGAGAAGGCCTCCTCACCCGGCCCGGGGTGGTGGATCCGGCGGAGGCGGTGGCTCTTCCTCGTCATCGTCCTCTTCTCAGCAGCAGCTGAGGAATTTCTCACGCTCGCGGCACGTCTCTGAACGCGGCCACCTCAGGGGACATAGCAGCTACCGACCCAAAGAACCATTCCGGTCTCATCCGCCCTCGGTGCGGATGCCTTCCAGCTCACTGTCCGAAAGCAGCCCGCGGCCGTCTTTCTGGGAGCGCAGCCACATCGCCTTGGACCGTTTCCGCTTTCGAGGCAGGCCTTACCGGGGTGGTAGTCGCTGGAGTCGGGGGCGAGGCGGGGGTGACCGAGGCGGCAAGCCGGGGGGCAGACCTCCTCTGGGAGGAGGAGCAGGATCCGGATTCAGCAGTAGTCAGAGCTGGCGAGAGCCCTCTCCACCTCGGAAGAGCTGTATCCTTAACGTGGCGATCTGCCCTGGGTGTGTCACTCAAAGTTCCCTTAAGTGTCATTACTAGGTCTATGAGTGTAACTTTTCAGAACCGCTTATTTGTTCTTGTGTCAGTATACTTACAGTAAGTTGTTCTTTGGTAATTTCCATGTGTCACACTATAGCAGTGTTTCTTAGATTGCTTTATTGGGTAGATTGCTTTTTAACATTAAATGTGTTATGGATTGAAAGCTATGGAATCAAATACGATCAAATCAGTATTGTAAGAAGCACAAGTTTTCATTAGCATTTTTTTTTTAACTAATACAGTAAGTATTTCAAGTGAATTTGACTTAAGATTTTTGGATGAAAAATAGTAAACAGTTTGGGGAATGCTGTTACTTTAATTGCGTGCACTTTGACATTGGAAATTGTGAAGTTTGATTCGGCGTAATCCTATCATTCTGCTAATTCCTTTTTTAAAAGCCTTTTTTGAGTTATTCTTTCCCACTGCTACCTTTTAAAGTGGAAAATAAAAAAAAAGGGGGGGGTGCACAGTGTCTTTTCCTGTGTTCACTTTTGGGCATTTTATAACTCGCAGTGTGTCTAAATGTGGACTACAGAGAAAAATAAACTTGCCAGCATTTTTATTTTAATATATTAGAGTGTGGGATTGTATCTCAAGTTTTCTTGTTTTATAGAACTGTGTCTTGACTCTGTGATAATTGTAAAACAATTTACTAAGGATTTTCATGACTAATTGTAATTCTTATGGTGCAATGATTTTAATATTTTCATTTATTCAAAGTTTATATTTAATAATTTTTTAATATTTATTTTTTAGTTGTAGTTGGACACAATACCTTTATTTTATTTATTTATTTTTATATGGTACTGAGGATTGAACCCAGGGCCTCTCACGAGCGCTCTACTGATGAGTCACAACTCCAGCCTAGTCTTCATTATGAAGTTTATATATAACAACATTTAATTGGAAAACCTTTAAAATTATTTTTATAGAATACTTAGGGTCAGAATGGTTTTTCCCAGGTGTCATGATGAAAGGGGAAAGAAAGGTTTAGGTTAAAAAAAAAAAACAGGTTGTGGTGTTGATGCCCTGAAAAAGTTGTTTCTGCAACTAAACATTGGGTTAGGGGTATTTTAAATTGTTTCAGAGAAAAATCATGTAGGTATTTAACTTTTTTTTTTTAATTGTTGATGAACCTTTAATTAATTAATTAATTAATTAGTTAATGGTGCTGAGAATGGAACCCAGTGCCTCACACAATGCTAGGCAAGTGCTCCATCACTGAGCTTAGAAAACCTGTGTCCAAGATTTTTTTTTTCCCTCTAGATTTGTTTATTCTGAATCCAAAAAAACAAAACAAAACAACAAAACAACAACAAAAAAACCCTAAAGGGCTATTTAAGGATAGAGATGAAACTATTTTTGTTGGAGAGACAAATGAAAATAAATGTAGCTTACTAAAAAAGTTCAAGTTGAGTTATATAAAAAGTATTATGGGCACTCAAAGCTTTTAAAAAATCTATTTTGTATAAGAAAATGGGGGAGAACAGAGTGTTCACCCACCTCCTATCTTTGTTTAGGATCCTGCCAAGTTGCTTAGGCTGGCTTCAAACTTGCAATCCTCCTGCCTTAGCCTCCCAAATCGCTGGGATTATAGGCATGTGCCACCACACCCATCATCTTTGTCTTTCTTTCTGCTCATTTGGTACCAGTTTGGGCCTCTGCCATTTACCTTTGCTAATTTTTCTGTTTACATGCTTTTAGTAATAAATAGGCATATGGAATTGCAACAAAAATATAGGAAAGCATCTAGACTTCCTGTGTGACTGATTTCTGTAATAACTTGTCAGAAACGAGCTATCTTGCTGTTTTTCCTTTCACAGATGCTGTACTTTAAGAAAAGGACACTTGTTTTGATATTCTGCTCATTGTTTTTCTTATGAAATATCATTAATCCATCCTAGAGGTGGTGGTTTTTATAAGATTTTGACAAGGCAAATGTAGTTTCCAGCTACTTTTGTGTAATGTAAGCAAACAATTTTTAATACAAACCTTTAAATTCTTTTAATATCAGTGTTGTACTCAGTTTAATTCATATTTCCACTGTGTGATTGTAAAAATGCTTTTTATTTTACAAATATTGTGTAAAGAAAGAATGAAGGTAATTCTATGGCTCACTTTAGTAATCTACAAATGAGGTAGTCTGAATATAGATTTTTTGGGGGGTGGTGATAGTTTCTTTTTTTGTAATTATGAAGATATGCTAGTTTCAACTTTAAAGAATCAGAATAAACCAGAACCTATTGCAACTCTTCATTTATTCATTTTTATTTTTTATAATGATAAGACACTTTGTCAGTCTTAGCCTAAGTCTCCCTTGGTTGACTGCTGTTTTAAACTTTCAAATTGGATGAGAGCTAACATAATTAGGCCAGTGTGTCTCATCAGTAAAAAGTCATTGAATTTTCAGCTGTAGCAGAATAGGTTGAATAGTGGTTCTTTTTTTTTTAAAGACAGATTTTAATACCTGTTTTTTGAAAGCATTTCTTTTTTAAAAGTTCTGTTAGAAATCAGATTAAGAAGCTTAAAATTAGATCTAGTAAGTGTTGGTTTGATTCCTAGCTATATATTGTATAGACAGAGATAGGATATTAGTCTTCAAGGAGGTTAGTTACAGTCATAACTCAATTCTGTTTCCTCATTTTTCTATTCTTTAATTATTTTATATATTCTTTTGTTAGAGTGAATCTTTCCCCTTTGCAATTGTTTCCAAGGTCTTTAATTTTATTTTTATTACTCATTTGTGCCTTTAGATGGCCCCATTGAAAAGCCAGCTATAAATGTAGATAATTGCAGTGTTTATGTACAAAGAGTACATAGGAATGGGAAGGGAAGGATAAATAGTTTTGGCTTTGCAAGGGTGGTGACTTGAATTGGGGTCAAGTTGAACAGAAACCTAGATATAAAGCTGCATAAATGTGACAATCAGAAAGAAGGTAAGACTGGAAAGGTAAGCACAGGTCAGATCATAAAAGCATTGTATTCATGCTAAGGATTTTGGACTCTTAAATGAGATTTAAGCAAGGGGAGAGATCTTATTAGATTTGTATTTGTATCCATACCATGGCAGCAGTATGGATCATCGTTTGTGGGTGCTAGAGAACCCAAAAGTCTTAAGAGGCCGAACTCCTCACCTATGGCAGCTAAAACTACAGAAGTACATTAGAATGTTCCTAATGAAAAGAGAATCTTACTAGAGTTCACTGGAGAGCACATTATTAGTTGGAGAGAAAGAAATCATGAAGCTTTAAAAAGGTAAGAGAAAACAGAAGGATAAGTGGAAGTTATGTAAGCCAAGAGAGCAATGGTTTATAGTGTCAAGTGTTACAGAGAGGTCAGGTAAAGTAAGACTTGAAAACACTGGTGGATAAGCACAGCCAGAACAGCTTCTGTTGAATTATTGAGACAAGCCAGATTCTGTTTGGTTGGAGCATAGGTAAGAGAGCCTTTGAAAAACTTGTATTCTTTTAAGAAATTTGGTACTGAAGAGATCAGAGAACCAAAGATTTGTTACAGTAGTTTTGCTGAAGATTTTCAATTGTAAAGCTTATTTATTTTCTAATGTTTGATGTTGGTTCTCATTCTTGGATTGGTCATCAGAGGAGTTTAAAAATCTTTGCTGGCTGCTTGTCCTGTTACTGTATTTAGGAGGTATAATGTTATATCCTAACCCTTACAAAATGATCTAAAAATGATTTATTATATTAAAACCACAAAAAGTGTTCATCTTTTTCCTTGGTAATTTCCAGGCTGGAAAAAGGTGTAAAAATTCTCACATGTATGAATTATTTGAAATTAGAAAATACATTTTGAGTGCTATTTAGGGATTTTCCTTATTTTTTATTTGCAACTTACAATTATTCAAGTTGTGAATATGTTGAATGTTAGTATCTTGATGAGCTCTGAGCTTGTTATGTATTAGATTTTTAAGAAAATGTGCATGCCTGTAAATTTATCAGCTCAGGAGGCTGAGGCAGGAGGATTGTAAGTTCAAAGCC